CCTCTAAGTAATTATAACTTCGAAATTAAGAAGCTCCTGTTGAAAAGGTGTGGAAAAGAAAAATAACATCTCTTTACCAAAGAATATACGTGTATAGGTAACACAACAAAAGAAAACAAGCAACAGTCCCGCACCCAAACTCCCTCCGAATACAATGAAGTAGTTTTCGCCTTTCGGCGCAGTTCTAACCAGGGCCAGCAGGGAGCCCGGCTGGGCTCCGGTGGGACCGCACGGAAGGGAGGGGGTGATTCCTCCTGTGGACTCACGCTGTCAAAGGCTCTGGCTGGAACTCCCCTTCCTCGTCAATGGGTGTAAACTGCGACCGGCATGGAGAAGGAGGAGTGAGTGTGTGTGGGGGGAAGAACAGCCTTTCCCCTCAAAAGTTCCTCTGCAGATGCTACCGGCTTCTCCCGTGAAATCCGAGGCAAATCCGGGCCGTGGGCAGAACAGGCGTGAGGGAACGAAGCCGAACTGGGTCCAAAGGCAGCTAGATGACTTGGCCGAAAACAAAATGAGTCCCGGAGCTCTTTCTTTTCACATACATCCCCTCCCTGAGTCCGGGCAAAAGTGAGATGCGGTCCCCAGAAGGAAAAAACCAAAACCTCACCTTCCCCTACAGTCTGCTGAAGCCATTAGCTCGGAATGTGGGGTATTAACCAGTCCTTTTGTGTGTGCTCACTCTGGCCATCTCCTCTCCCTCCCTCGCTCAACACCTTTCTTCCACAGTGGTGAAGGAAAAAAATTCCAAGCAGGTTTTTTTTTTCTCTTTAAACCAAGAAAACCTGTGACACTATTGTGCATCTCTCAAATCTCATGGTTTCACACAGAAAACTATATACAAAATAAGTACAGAAAAATCCACATTTTTTTAATTGTTGCGGGGATAAAATGAGAGTCTATGAACTCCCTTCAGTGACTGAAAAAGCATGGGAGACTTAATTCTGAACCTTTCTCATGCGGGATGCACTTTTTTTGTTTCAACAGGCCACCTTTCCAGTGAGAAGAATGGTGTTCTTTTCAGTGTACAGAATGGTGATGTGTGTCTCCATGACTTTTCAGGCAAACAACTTGTATTTCAAGACAAGGATGATACTGGCAGCCAAGAAAGCCACATCTCACTCAGAAGGACTTCAAAAAGAGGAAGCCTAAATTCTATGGAGAAAATGTGATTTCCTTTTAAACAGCACATTGTTTTACAGTGTGAAGTAGAGTTTTACTTTAACAGTTTTACATAATGTGAGCACACCAAGAACTGATCTTATTTAATATATGGTACTGGAACTTCAAGGCAGCCATGCAATGGATTGACGAGGACAATTATTAAAGGAAAAAAAAAAGGAAGCTACTATTTTTACAAGGTCTTGGATGTCGAAATACAGCTGGCACATTTCCATTTTGATTCTCCATCAGAATGGGTTTTTGATTTTTTTTTTACATCTGAACAAAAGTTTTGTTTAGACTTTTTTCATTACAATTAGTTTATCTGGTTATAATGCTTAGTAGTATTGTATAGATGTAGAAAGTTACAGCTTGTGCATACAAACAATGTTAACTTTCAAAATGTTAGCTACACTGTCCTCAACTTTTTGTACATTGTAGTAGCAAACTCTGTAGTGATGTACATAAACAGAAAAATATCAACTCTTAAGCATCTCAACGATACTTTTATATTTATTTCTTGTAATATAAATATTCCTATGTATAGAAAAATAATTGGTATTTTGTTTTTAACTTTTATTGTAGGTTCATATTTTTCTTTAGTTAATTAACTTTAACAGAATGATACAGAAGTTACTTTGTTGAGTAAGTGGAATCACTTACAGTGGTTTGAATATATTCACTAGAGGGAGAACTGTAAATAACAAACACGATCAGTCTTGAACCTCTAGCAACTTTTTAGTACACCACAGAGGAATAAAAACTGAATATAATCCAACTAGAGTGCCATGAATGAGGGAGTGATTAGTAAAGTAGTCAGAGGGTTATTAAATACAACTAACTTACGTTGTGGCTTGAGTAAGTCCATCAGAATTTTTGCCACTGATTTCAGCAGAGTCAGTTTTTGTCTTGAGTGGTGGTTCCAGAGATTAAACACACTGCCATCTCTCATTTGCAATGATGAAAGTAGAGAAGTTTGTGGCTTTTTGGGGAAAAAAAAAAAAAATAGAAATAATAAATACCATCTGCTATATTTAGTAGCTGAGAAATTGTTTTCTTCATTGTGTGTCTGTTTTTTAAGGGGCAGCTCTTGGGCTATTCTATACAAGAGTATTTCTGCTTGTGCTTTGGCCCTTGGTTGGCAAACCAAATCCCGAAGCCCTTGCTCAGTAAGTGCTGAAGCAAAATTTCATTCCCCTTGTGATATTTGCCTGACAAAGGCTGGATTTTTGCTCTTCATGCAAAACAACTGAAAGCTCATACAACGTTGTGAAGATTCTTCCTGAACAGAAATTAATCTGAGCCCTGGCTGTACCTCTTCTTCCTCACACAGGTATGTGGCTGTGACCACTGCTTTTCTAATCTGTGTTCTTGGTCAAAGGCTGGATGCTCCTGGAGCAAGAACTAGAACAAACTGGCACCTGACTGCAGAGTAACAGACCCTGTAAAGGGGGATGTGTGAAGCAGATGCATGTTGAAGCGGAGCAAGGGCTTTGCTTTCCCAGAGGACTCAGCAGGGAGCTCTGGAAACACTCTTCTCAACAAAAAGCATCAGCTAAATGCCTCCTATCTGGGGCTCTGTTGTAGTTCAGCAATTGAACCTCTTCAGTACTCAAACCGTCTTGTGGTTCTGTGGATAACACATGGGTTCTTTCGGTCACCTATATCTAAGATTACTCTGAATATGTTTTTAATGTGAGAATTTAAAGTATTCGTTGTGTTTATCCGCAAGGTTTTAGCTTCATGTTAATAAAAGCCCATCCTGGAATGCTAGTAGCTGGAATGCATTTCTGTGAATGCTTTAACTATTTGGCTAATTGCCTTTGCAGTGTTTCTTGTAAATGTATTTAATGTTCTTATATTTATATTTTCAACTGTAAAAAAAGGTAATAAATTTGCAGCAAATACAACACATAAAATATATAAACTTTGTCTTTTAGATGAATGTGTCATTAATACTGGCCTGTATTACAATTCTTCAGATTACATGAACTGCAGTAACCTCTTGGAGAAAATGCTGACCTAGCTGTTACATTAATTGTCTCTCACATATTTTACCTTTCACAGTTCTAGAAGATTGGGATTTTAGCAGAGAAAACCGTGGTAAGTCTGTCCAGCCAATGCCTGTCCAAGTCTGCTGAAACTCTCCCACAAATATGATATAAGCAAAAGCACACAGCTGCATTTGGCTTCAATAGTTAAATTCCCTATGAAAACACATATTCTGCTGTCACTGACCTGCTTGGAATCTTCCTTTTGTTTCTATTTTTTGCACACTAAGATATGTTAGGCTTCTTTAAATAATTTTTATTTTATATATTCCTAGGGGTGGGGAGCCCTTTCTGACTTTGCCACTTAAAAGCATGCACATATTGTAGCAAAATTTTGCGCTCGCACCAGCATATTATTTTAGCTCAGTAGATAATCATCATCATTAAACTAGCTGAAAATATCTTTTCACGTTAGGTGTTATGGTATCCTTTTGGTACTTGGTCTGTTGGGCACTGCTAGGAGTTTAGCCATGGCACCCAGAGCTTGGGGAAAGATGCAACTCCTTCCCAGAGCACAGAGTAAAACTCTGTGCATCAACTCGTGGGTGCAAAGATAACTTGGGGGCACCTGTAAGGAGGTTTTAAGCTTAGTCATAGATAAACAGCAACCTGCCATGTACAGCTGGCATCACCTTGCTCAGCAAACCTGTTCCCTCAGTGCAGGCAGTGTCTGTAAAAAGCAGTGCCCTGAAGCAAGGAGCTGGTGTGGAGTTTAGGGGAGTGAACTGGTCCAGGTCTTGGGACAGCACAGCTCTGGCAGATGGAGATGATGAACCTTCAGGTAGTGCCTTGTCCCCTCGTGGTGAAACCTACAGGGTGTAGGTGTCTGATATTCACTCAAGGAACTTGTCTCCTTTGAACGCTGTTCTCTCAACCATGGTTGTCAGTTACATAGTCAATGAAGGAAGCACAGCAAGAAAAAGTTACAATATTAAATCTCTTAATGCTGCAATTTCACGTGAGAAAAAAAAAATGGAAAAAAGTCCTTTCTGAAATGAGTGAATCCCGCACCTTCAGCTACTCTGCAACATCTGTTCAGTGCTTCTGCACCCATTCACACTTCACACTCTTTTACTTCCTATTGCCAGGAGCACAGAGGGAAGGTGCTGAAGATTTTGCAACTGTACGTAACACATGTTGTGGTTTGTGTTTGTAAACTTTTTGGTTCTATTTGCCTGACATTCCTTATTCCTGCTTCTTGCTCCTGTCAGGGAACTGCAGACTGCGGTCAGGCAAGGGCAAATCAAGTCAGAAGCCTAGCTGCTCAGTGTCCCTCGGGAATGCCTGTGGGAATAGCAGGTTCCTTTCCTTCACAAATCTCGCAAGTCTTGTTTCTTTGTTGAGTGGAAAAGCCAAGGCTGGGGCTGGGGTGTGAAAACATCTGATAAAGCCTTGGATTTTTTTTTTTTTTTTTTTTCCTTCATTGGATCAGATCTCGGAACTGTGGGGTTTCTTAAGGCTGGGGGGGGGGGGGGGGCAAAAAAGAAAAAAGCTTCCAATAAGTATTCTGATCTTTTCAATTTTATTTTACGAACTTAGAAGAGGATGGATAAAATCGACTTTGTTTTTAACAGATGCCACATTTTTACAAATGTTTTTGTCCCTTGTCGCGTTACGGCCTCTCCCCTGCTCGGTCCTCGGTCCCCATTACCCGCGGTGCCCGGTGCTGCCGGGGGCAGGAGGCCGGTCCCGCCCCGCCCCGCCGTGAGGGCGGGCTGGCGCTCCCGCCACCGCCCAGGGAAGGAGGGGAGAGGCCGCCGCCGCCATCTCCGGCTGTCCCCGCCCCGATCGCGGCCGGGAGGGGAGCGGGCGGGCCGGGCAGCCGGGCCGGCCGTGGGGCGATGAGGAGCCGCAGCAACTCAGGGGTGCGCCTGGACGGCTACGCCCGCCTGGTCCAGCGAACCATCCTCTGCCACCAGGTGAGCGCGGCCGCCGCTCCGGGGCGCCTGGTCGGGGCGGGGGCGCCCGGTGCGATGGGGCTGTGATGGGGGGCGCGGGGGAGCTGCCGGGGCCGGTGGCGGCGGGCTGGTTGCAGGAGGGGCACGACGGGGCCGGTGGGAGAACATCCCCCCTCCAGCCGGCGCACGGCCTCCTCCCCTCCGCATCTCCTGTGCCCGCCGGGGGAGGAGCGCGGGGAATGCTGAGGCGCTGCGGATCCGGGCGGTGCTCGCTGTCGCTTGTGTACATGCACGCTGGAAAGCGTGTGGAAAATACAGCGAGCCTGAGCCTGGAAATTGTAGTACTTTATAATTATAGTAATGTGTTCGTGGCCATCCCCTCCCATTGAGGGGATATATCTCATTGTGGTCTTCAGCATCCTCAGGAGGAGAATCGGAGGGACAAGTTCCGATCTCTTCACGCTTGTGAACAGTGACAGGACTTGAGGAAACGATATGAAGCTGAGTCAGGGGAGGTTTAGGCTGGATATCAGGAAAAGGTTTTTCATCCAAAGGGTGGTTGGGCACTGGAACAGGCTCCCCAGGGAAGTGGCCACAGCACCAAGCCTGACAGAGTTCAAGAAGCATTTTGACAACGCTCTCAGGCATATAGTGTGATGATGTGATTCTTGCGTGTCCTGCACAGGGCCAGGAGTCAGACTCGATGAGTGAGATCATCCCCTTCCAACTCAGTATATTCTTTGATTCTGTGTTATGATAGACACCCACCCGCTGCACACTATACACACTATATATATATGAATATATATATATATATACATGCCCAGAACACCATTAAGCCCCAGTAACATAAGAGCTCCGAGCAGGGCCTTTGGGCCGTGTCTGTCAGCACAGCTCGGTGTGGATCCGGGACAGCGCAGGGCTCCCTGTGTGCTCCCTGCGGCACGTGTGTGCAGCGGGGCACGTCCCAGGGATTCCAGTCTCTTCTCCCGCTGTTAACACTGCTGGGGCTCTGGCTCGTCAGACGGGGCTGCCTGCACATGTGAGCAGTGAAAGAATGAAGATAGCAGAGATGGTTGGGGAAGGCTGTTACTCACCCTGTGCTTTTTGGTCAGTGCAGTGCTCTCTGCTTTGTGTGCTCGCTTCACCCAGGCCGGCTCTGAGGACTCACAGTGTGCTGAGCAATGTCATGCTTCGGTTATAACAGTCTAGTACATAAAGATAAGAGCAACAGAGTTACTTGCTCAAATCAGTTACCAAATTTACTTTGTTGCTGAGAGTTTCAAGAAACTGGAAAGCAGTGAAAGAAGACCCAAATCTTCCTAGGTCAATAAGATTTTTGTCACTGACTGCTGTTGTGGGCACAGTGTCCAGACACCTGTGAATTGGTGTTTGTGTACTTGTTATTGTGAACTCTTGTATTTGTAAGAAAAATACGAGAACATCTGGAACATAAGTGGTGTGAAGAGATAATTTTGCTCTCTCGCTGTGCAGGGGTGCAGGAGATGCTTAGAGTTGTGCTCCTGTCTCTACCTTTTGTCTGCAGGATGACACTGGGCAAATCACTTTGGCTTCCAGTACCTGCCTTGCTTTCCATTTTTATGAGATGAGGATACTGATAACAGCCTTCATTTAGAAGAGATGGAGCCTCTGAGATCAAAGCTCAAACATGCCCCATAAAAGCTGTGCCTTAATGATACTAATATTTAACAATAGTAAAATGGGTAACTAAATGGTAATACAGGAGTTTATATTGGTGACCTAGAATTTTGTAATTGCTACTTACAGTGCCAGGATGAGTGTTTGTGACTGTGTATTGCCTTTTCCACTAAGGGCTTAATGTCTGGGAGACTTCAGAGGTAGAGAAAGGAAAGAAAAGTTTTCTTCTGTATGTGGAAAGCAAGCCACAGGCTAGAAGCAAGGCAGAGGGACAACAATATCACAAGGGGACCCAGAGAAATGCTCAAGGCATGTTTCTAGATTTTTTTCCTATATGTATACCCTTTATGGTTTTTCACTGCAATAGATTGAAAATGTTGTGCTCAGCTGGGTGGAGAGATGCAATGCTTACTTGGGCAAGTTAGGATGGTTGTCTTTGGGCCACATGCAATCCTGACTTCCTTGGTAGCAGAATTATCTGTGGCTGGATGGGCTGGGCTGCTGCATCGCTGCCGCTGGTGCCTCCTTGGTGCCAGGGAGGGGGATTTTAGCCATCAGTTTGACCCAGAGCACCCTGGCAGAAGAGCCAGAAGGCATTTAAAATGCTTGTGAGGTGTCGCCGCTCAGCACAGGGGTGATGTGTGGCTGTGACCATGTACCTCACACCCACAAGCTGCCAGAGTGCAGACCTGGCACACCAGCTGTGCTGTGATGGAGGGCAGTGACACGCTCACCTTTGTAGGGGTGCAGCAAGGACAACACGTAGTGTGCTGAGAACATTTTGCTTTGATAAGGTGTTTAATACATCAGGAGTCAGGTTTCTCAGAAGCAGCAATTGATCTTGTGTTCATTCCAATCACTCTAAATTGATGTGATTTTAGAGGTAATTTTTAATTCAGAAATGCAGATGTGCTACCAGGCAGATGTGTCTGAAGCACAGGTCCGGACCCTGCACCAGGGTTGACAGTTTTCCGTGTGCGGAACTTGCAGGATGGGGTCAGTAGCAAACTTGTTCTCACTTTGCAGATGTTGCATTCTGCTGATCAGTCGCTGCACCATGCACAGTGATAGGTATTGTTAAAGGTTGTTCAAGGAGGCTAAGACCAGACAGCTGACTCCTGTCTGTGTGGGATCTGCCAGCAGTTCCATGTACTCCCAGGGGCAGGGGACAGAGGGATGCTTCGGTGCTGTAGCAGAGCAGACACTGAAGAGCATCATTAGAAGGATGTTCTCAGCTGCTTATTACAGCTCTTAAATTGAAGGAGATAAGAAAAAATGTGAATCTTAAGATATGCCCATAAAATAGTAAAACTTAACATCTGTGTACATTTTAAATATTGGTACAGTAGTATAAGTGGAAAGCATATGGAACTGATAAGGAAAGCACATCTGTCATACTTTTATGATTAAGCCCAACTGTGTTACATCTGGTTTCACACAAGCAAGCTATCTGCAGGCTTTGCTAGAGCTTACATAGGTTTTCATCTGACAGATCAATGAGACAGGTGCAAATTAAATAGATTTTCAGCAAGATGCCAAATGTGGGCTTATTTGTTTTGCTGGTCTGGTTAGAACCCTGTTGTTTTTGTGCCTGTACTGCTGAAGTTCTTATTAGTGCCTACTGCCCTGTAGGAACTGGTGTGTTTTGTGGTTTGGGTTGCTGGAGGGTTTTTTGTCTCCAGATTAAGAGACAGATTTAAAAATAGGATTGGGCATGATACAACAGTTTAAAGTCTTAGTCCAGCAATCAGCTTTCTGTTGCAGTACTCTCAGCTGAGAGCGCATGGGTGCTGGTAAAATTCTTTGCTCTGTGGATCTGTATGTGCAGTGTGATTTGAAGGATGAGACCTGCTAGTCCAATTAGCAATCACTGCATAGATGTAATGCTTTCAAGTACTAGTTGAGCTAAAATCCCTTTGACATCTGTGGGATTAAGTGCACTCAGTGTTTCTCTTGAGTTCTTTAGCACCTTGTAAGTGCTGTAGTTTTCATGTGGTGTCAGCAGGTAACAGAAGCAAATAATTCTAGTTTTTTAGAGTAAACAATTTCTAAAAAATTCAGAGCAAAACCACTTAAAATATTAATTCATATATTATGTTGTTCTGTTAACACTCTGAATGTGCATGAGGAAAGACATTAATGTGTTGTCAGTCCATGAGAAGCAGCCCCAGTGTGCCCCAAAAGCTGGGACCATCTTGTAGAGGAACCAAAGGTTCTGAAATGGTGATAGCTGCCCTTGGATGTGTTTAATACAGCCTCTTGAAGGTTGGCAGGTCCCTCCCTGGGAGCTGAAAAGTCTTTTAAAGTCTTACATGGGCCATTTTTCTGGGATTTCCATTTTGGTACCCAGAGACATTTTTATTTTTCAACTAGCAGCCAGCCCAGCATTGAGTGGGGAAAAATAAACCAAAGGGATCATTTCTCAGACAGCAAGGTGATCTCTATTAAGCCAGGGCTGCAGATGCATAGATATTTGTTGTCCTGCATGGGAGGGAGAGAGAGAACTAAAGTGCTAAAAATGCTGGGAATATGCTGTCTGCCTCTTCAGATCCTGGGTTTTGTCCTGTGGGCACAGTGCTGAACTGGGACCAAGGTTTCCTTTTTTGCTTGCACACTTGTTCTTCTGTTACTCCTTACTTGACTTTTTAAGATCAGAATGACGATTTTTAAGCTGTTTGCTTTCATATGTGCTAATTTCCCCATCAAACAGGTGAGTAAGGGGTCCTTCAGTTGTTACTTGATTTGTGGAGACCGTTCTGAGGAGGGACTGTTTCAGCAGAGCCACATCTCTTCTGTCAGGCAGCCACTAAGCGCTGCTGTATTTAAACCAGAACAATAGGGCAGACTGTGCCCAGTCACCTCTGTCAGGCTGTCACCTCTGTGGTGTTCAGTGGTCACATGCAAAGCCCAGGAAATTGTAACTGAAGCTCCTCCCCCTCAAACTGGCTTCTTAAAAATAACTGTGGAAGGAGTTGAGTGAACAGTGTGTGGGAGAAATGACAAATTGGTGTATGTATTCTTTTAAGTCTTACTCATCTTTATTATTGTAATCTTTGCCTCTTGTCACGTCAGCCCTGGCAACTGGTCTTCATTCACTGAAATTTTCTCTAAAGGCTTAATTTGACTGAAACTTCTATCGACCTTTTCCTTCTTTGCCTCATTTTTTTATTAGTGCAGAACATACAGCCGAGAAAGACAGTCTTGAAAATTATGGATAGTGAAGTGATGGGAATAAATGATGCAATGAAAAATTTAATGGGGGTGCAGGAGGCTACTCACTATGCTGCTTTTCAACACCTTCAGAATTTGTCTTTCTGTACTTTTTCCAAAGGAGAATATAAAAAGGCTTTGCATGCATTCATTTAACTGTCATAAACCCAGCAGGCAGATATGCAGAAACACTTTTTTAATCTCCTAGAAGATAAGTAGTGGTTTCTTACTTCCTCGAGATTATGTCAGAGATCAGATGCATAGAAAAGAATGTATTCCAGACTGAATTTCTAGTGTTGACTGGTACTCTCTTTTCCTCACAAATATCTAAAATTTAAATTCCTATTTCCTCAATGTATTTAGAATTTCACTCAGTTACTTAGCTGACAGTCCTGTGTGGATGAGAATGCCCAGCTGGATACTCTAAGTTTTACATCCTGAAGTGTTCAAATGAATTTTACATTTCACTTACATGAGCTTGGGAAAGAAAGATGGGACCTCACTTCTGTTGTGAAATTGTGAGCAGCCACAGTGTGCAATCAGCGTGAAATCATGTTTATTTTGTTACTCTTTAATACAGAAAGAAGTGGTGCTTCTTAATGGATGGGACTTCAGGTAGCAATATTTGTTCTTTATTCCTTCTGCCGTGGTTAGAATCCAGTTACGGGGCTGCTTTCAGCCGGTGCAGACCATAAAGATGCCTGGGTTCGGGACAACGTCTACAGCATCCTGGCCGTGTGGGGGCTGGGAATGGCTTATCGGAAGAATGCGGACCGGGACGAGGATAAGGCCAAAGCCTACGAGCTCGAGCAGGTTTGTCAAAGTTTGGCATAAACCAGTTATACTGTTTGTTTTTTTCATACAGCGGTGTTTTTGAAGAGTGCATTCACGTTGCTGCTGTGTCTGGGGTCTGGCAGGGTTTTCCCAGTTTGGAGTACATGTCTTGTTCCAATGACAGCAACATCTGTGCAGCGTGTGGTGTGCAGTATCCCTGGCAACCTTCTGGCAAGCAGGATTTGGAGAACTGCATGGCAGAGAGGCTAACATCTCAATTAAAATGCAAACAGAACAAAAACGTGTAGGAGTCAAACTTCCATCCGTTGACCAGTTGTTGAAAATTAGGCTTCTGAGAGACTTTGTGCCCAGATTTACAAGGCTGTCCCTCATGAGTTGTATTGTAGAGCAGAAAATCAGGCCTAGGTTGCTTGGATCCTATGGTCTATCTGCTAGACCGTTCTTCCCTGTAAGGATGAGCATGCCAAGCATGCCATTTAAAGTAGCCGTCTTCGGAATGTGCGCTCGTGTCATCTCATGGAGGTCGTACATGGTGTGTAGATGTGTTTGATCAATCCAGAGAAGGTAACTCTCCAAACTGGTAAGACTCGTGCTGGAGAATTGGAAGGGGAGGTAACTCCCACAGTTAATTTCTTTACTTGCAGCTGGGAAAGTGGATATTAGAAGTGAGAGTGCAGAGATGGGTTGAATGACAAGTGAGGGATTATGGTGCCAGTGTCCTGCTGGCATTTTGAAGTCACTGGGTAAATTTTTTGCTGACATGTCCTGCTCAAACCAGGGAGATCTGTGGTGACAAAATAACGTTGGTTCTGCATGATCATATTTTGAGGCTATAGCTTTTGGGTAAAAAGATGGGGTCGATTTCTTTATTTAAGGCAAAATCTTGTACTTCTCTACATTCACATGTATGGCCCTTTCTTTACACCAGTCACCTGTTTTCTATTGTACTGTGTAAGGAGTGGAAGAAGCTTTACAGGTCTTCCAGTCATGTCAATGTCTTGCAGTCACCTATCAGTGTTCCCTGTATCTGTCACTGTAAAAAAAAAAAAAAAAGGAAAAAAACCCCCACCAAAAACAATAATAATGATAATTATAGGACAGAGAATTCCTCTTATTTCCTTAGCTGGATAGAAGGGACCACAGAGAGTTGTTCCACTGTTTAGAGAGGGCCTTTGGGAAAAGATTTGCTCTTCTAGGTAGGGGTGTAGGAATAAAAATTGATGAGTGTATTTAAAAAAAACAAAAGCATGTAGAGCATTTTGGGCAAATACACACTTTTTTTACCTTTGGCAGGATGTTAGTAGAGGGTGTGAGCTTTATCACTTTTGAATGTTGTTTGTACCAGCTGATGAGGCTGACCATGTGAGGGTGTCACTGATGTGTTTTGTTCTTGCAGAATGTTGTGAAGCTGATGCGGGGGCTCTTGCAGTGCATGATGAGACAGGTAATGTCATAGGTATGAGTTGAATTAGTACGTGTTATATTTACAAAGCATTTCATCGAAGCATATATTTGCTATATCTTCTGTAGAGTGACTGTTTTTGCATGTGTGTAGATGGTGGTGTGGGGAATCTTTTTAAAACTGTTGAGCAAAACTCTGATCTTGCTTGCACTTTTTTGAAATTGTGCTTGTAGCAAACCAGTTTTGCCTTTGCAAACTCATTTTCACCAAGATGCACACCTGTAGTTTAGATCTGAACTCAACAAGGTAATTTCATCTTATTCTTTCCTGTAGAAATGTGGATTTAACTGGAGTCTAAAGTCAGAGTTGTGTTTAAGCACTCTAATCAATCAAAATACATTGAAGTGAGGTAACAGGAATTAGAACCTCAAGTTTCTCCTCATCTAAGAAAAGTTGTTAATTTTGAAATAGTTCTTCTGAAATGTTTCAACTTTGAGCTTTGTGGTATTTTTTAGGTAGATAAGGTAGAGAGGTTCAAACGCACACAGAGTACCAAAGACTGCCTCCATGCCAAGTATAACTCTGCAACTTGTGCCACAGTGGTTGGGGACGACCAGTGGGGGCATCTGCAAGTGGATGCAACTTCCCTTTACCTGCTCTTCTTGGCACAGATGACAGCATCAGGTAAGCAGAAGATATTTTGCCTTTTGTTGTAGTCTTTTTCTATTCTAACATTCATTTAAAAAGGAAAAATAAAGTAGTAACAAGCTTTAAAGACCTTTAAATAATTATAACTCAGAAGTAGTGTTTCTCTGGAAAAGAGATAGGACTTACTTAGGATTTCATGTTTATAGTAACTGGCAGTGTCTATTCCTTTAATGATTACTGGCATACAAATACATGAGATATTGAGAGTCATGTCAGAGAAGTCTCATGTTTAAAGATAGTGTCCTGATGGACAACCAAGTTTCTTCAGAGAGTGGCAACATCAAATCAGGTGCCACTTTGTGCCATCTGTTCCTTTTCTTACTGGTGCAGTTTTATCTTGTGTTCCTCTCCACTGCACTCCTCATGTGAGGATAAGGATTTGTTTCCTTACATATTTTTCTGCCATTGGAGACCCTTGAAGTTGACCCCTTCCTAGTGGGCACCTGGTCGTCCTGGAGTTCCTCGACAGAGCAGTAAGGAGGCAGAGGGGTGGGGAGCTGTGGGTATTGGTATGCACTGCTCTGAAGAGCCAGAGCTGACTCAGATGTCTCTGCTTTGTACCCACTGTCTGAATGCCACCCCTACAGGAGTTCTTTGAAACCGTATGTATTAGTGGCATTTGAAGTATTTTGTCAGTAGCAAGTATTGAGGTTTGCTGCCTGACCCATTGAAATCAGTATGAGTTTTTCCTTTGATTTCAGTGGGCAGTAGTTGGTAGCAAATAAACAAAAGCATGAAACTTATTGAAGAGTAAATATTTCAGTTCTGATGTAGTATAATTAATCCCTTCCCTTCTTTTAATCAGGGTTACGTATTATCTTCACCCTCGATGAAGTTACCTTTATTCAGAATCTTGTCTTCTACATAGAAGCTGCCTACAAAGTTGCTGTAAGTAGTTATTTATATGTAAATCATCTCAATGCTGCTCAGGTTTACGTGGAAAATTATTTATTGATGGAGAAGGAAAACAGGGTCTTGCTTTTTCCATGAGAAGGTATCAGAACCTGCCAGTACTTTACACTGTGAGCAGCATCTTTGGAGATGTTGGGAGGGCTGTGGAGGATTTGCTGCTGCGTGGGTGAGGTACACCTGTTCTGTCATAATAACAGAGGGGTTTTTAACTGATAAGGAGTCTTTCTGCTGTGCCTTTTGCAACCAGACACGTCTATCTCGTATTGGCCGTTTTAGCCACCAGCGCGCTTGTAACAAACGTGGGTAGAGCACTCCCCAAATCTTCGTCCGTGAAGCCCAACCGTGATGATGATGATGAATAATATTTCCTGATGTCAAATTAAAATCTTTTGGGCCTTTCTAAAAATAGCAGGATGGTAACAAGCGTTCTGGAAAGTGATGAGTTGGGGGGACACAGAGAGAAACATGTACAGGGGGAGGGATAAAGGGCTTTGTGTGTTTTGTGAAGGCAGTGATTCATGACTGTATACCTGATCCTGCCGGAGTATACTTTTATGTGCTGCTCTTTAAACATGAACAGGGTCTCTTTGGAGACTTAAAGCCTTCTTTCCTTCTTTTTTCTTTTTTTTTTTTTTTGAAGGCCAATTATAAGCTAATTTCATGCAGGAGTCTGGATTTGTTGTGTGGCAAGGGAGGGAAACATTGTGTTTGTATATAATAATGCCATTTTTTTCTTGATGATGTTGTTGCAGGATTATGGAATTTGGGAACGTGGTGATAAGACAAACCAGGGCATCCCTGAACTGAACGCAAGCTCCGTAGGGATGGCCAAAGTGAGAATGTCTTCCTGACACCTCCTTCCTGGCTGTTGTGTTGTGCTGAAGGGCTCTGTCAAACCTGATTGCTCCCTTTGCATAGTCTTCTTGGCCACTGCAATAGCTAACTGATTGTGTAAGAATTCTTGTTTGGGTGTGAGTGAGTATTTTTTAGTGTAAAATCTTTGGGATAATGGCTCTCATTGAAGGACCTCAGCACAGTTGTTCCAGGGATTGCAAGTAGGGTACCAGATTCATTGAACCGTGAATCTGATAGATTCAGTAAGATGCAGTTTCATAAAGTGACCTCTGGTTTTCTTTCCCTCTTTCTTAATTCTCCAGCCCCAGTATCATATGTGATGTTTTCATGGTAAGATTAAATCTGATGTAAATTCTGGAAAACAGCAGACTATCAGTCTAAGAAATTCTTCACAAGTAATTCAGAAAGAAAAATAAATGAAGATGTACTTTAAAAAAAAGTGGATATTTCTTGTTCCCCCATAGCACAAGGTCACAGAGATACTAAAAGAAGTTCTGAAGGCCATAAATGTAAATGTGTAATCAACAACTACCTTTTCACTTGGTGTCTGGAGGACTGGGAGAAGACAAAGATCATTAAGGTCAAAGGTGTATTTGCATTTCAGCAGGGTTTGTTAGTTACCAAGATCTTGGTAACTGGCTGGTCTTGGCCCCACAGTTTAGTTGAACAGTGATGGGGCAGTGTCTGGCAGTTGTTCAGCGATGGGGCAGTTGTTCCTTAGATGTCCACTGTGAGATTTTTTTACCCTGAACATTCTGGTGTGGTCTCTGTGTGACATCCAGACCTGTTGATGTCAAGATGATCTGCAGAATTCACTGCACAACTTCGCTTCTCTGGGGATCTGAGTTCAATAGAAGTGCTATTTCAGATGAGAACTGGTGGGGGGCACAGTGAAGGGCCTGCTGCAGAAGCTGAGGTAGATGCTCTTTGTTTTAAATGTGCTTCTGGAATTCTGTCCCATACCTGCTTTGTGTGGCTACCCATGGCAACAGCACAGCACAGAGCATATGCCTTTGAGTGGTTCTCAGAACCTTTTCTGCACCATTAAAACTGTCCCTGGTCCCAGCTATCAGTTCCTCAACAGGACTTTCTGCCACTGTCAGGAACATCTGCTGCTGTAGTGCTGGTCTAGAGAGAGGGGCTCTGCAGAGGCAGTAAACCCATCTTTGTGTTGGAATAAGAAAAATATCCTTGCTCCTCTGCAGAGAGATAAGGAAAACTGCCCTGTGTGATCCTTCCTTTGTCAGAGAAGCTGCATATCCATGAAGCTGCAGGACAAAAACAGGCACAAGAGCAACAATTCAGTGTTACCACAACCCTATGAATATGCATTTCAAAGGAAGGCTCTGCTAGCCTGGCCCTGGCCATCCAGTCCTTTCTCTTTTCCTGCCACACTCCCTATGTGGTGCTGCACACCCCAATTCTTCAAAGTCAGGTTTTGTAGCCTGCTAGGTTAAAGTAGGAGTGTCAAAATTGAGTCAGTGTTTGGGCTGATAGTGTCTTCACCAGGCAAATGCACTATGGCCAAGAGGTATGAGAAGCAGTGATTCACCTGTTGGCATGGAGCACTGTGTGCCTCAGTTGGCTGTGGGGAGATCAGACATCTCATTTCTCTTCTGGTTGGGAAGTGACGGTATCAGAGAGGTGCTGAAGGTCTCTTCTTAAGGGGTCAGCCTTTGCTGATTCTGGGTTGCCTTGAACAAGCCTTCCTCTTTGAGCAGTTCTTCAGGCAGGAGGAGGGAAAGGACACTGAATGGGGGTTATTTTGGAATGTAGGACAGGACATGACATTTATAACTAAGTACTTCACTGTTTAGGTGATGTCTCAGTGGAAGCCCAGCTCCCCATTGTTTTGCATTGCCTTTAGATTGTAAGAAGGATCACCAGCACATCAATCATGTATTCAGCTAGTGGAAAGACAGAAATATTTACTTTTTCTAAAATATTGCCAAGTTTCCCTTTAAATAAAAAGTGTCTGTGGAGCAAAATTATGTCTTATATAAACTCCATCAGAGGATAAGCACAGGTGCTATGGTGTATACTTGGTTTAAAAGGTATCTATCTAATGATTTTGGTTTGTGGTTTGCTTTTCTTTGAAGGCTGCCTTGGAAGCAATTGATGAACTAGATCTTTTTGGAGCTCATGGAGGACACAAATCAGTGATTCACGTTCTTCCTGATGAAGTAGAACACTGTCAGGTAAAATTAGTCTTCTCTTTCATTTGCTGGGGGAAAACCTAACCCTCTCCCTTTTGTTTTTAAATGAAATGTTGATTAACTGAACCAAGAACTCAATATAATACGGATAGCTGCAGGCTATGCTGTTCACCCTGTTCTAGTAGATCATGAGAAACTGAGTGGTGTGAAGCGTTCGCATTCTAACTTGTTTAAAAATAACTATGCAGAGAGTTCTCTGTCAGTTTGCAAATAATATAGTCTGTTCCATTTACACTTGACATAGTCTTTTGAAGTATGTAAAATGTTTCACATCCGTTTCTTCTGCTCTTGTTTTGCTCAGTCTATTCTATACTCCATGTTGCCAAGGGCATCCACGTCAAAGGAGATAGATGCTGGCCTTCTCTCTATTATTTCTTACCCAGCTTTTGCAGTGGAGGATCTAAACCTTGTTAATGTAACCAAGAGTGAAATCATATCCAAATTGCAGGTAAGAATTTCCTTTATTTTTGTTTTACAGAAAGAAAAAGAAACAGAACCTCTCTTTCTTAACCAAAAATTCTGATTAAACAAGGGTTGCCAGACTTGGTTCATCTGTGCCTGGAAGAGAGGAAGGAAAATCTTGAAGTGACCCTTAAATCTCAGCTCTTGTTATGTTAGTCTGTGAGGAAGAACAGTATGTGTAATTTTCTGTAATTTTGTGTGTTTTTACAGGGCCGCTATGGCTGCTGTCGCTTTCTCCGAGATGGTTACAAGACACCCAGAGAGGTACTTCTGATGTATATTTTCAGTAGGCATTAGGAAGAATTTTATCTGTTCTTTATAGACATACTTTGTCTTATTTACATGAAGGAGTAAAGTTCTCCATCACTGCTAAGACATCTTAGTGGATTTGGAGGTAATCCAGGTATCCACCCTAGAAATGTCACATATGTGAAGGAGGCTAAGGGTTTGAAAACCATTTATTAGGGACAAAATGTAATTAATAATTCTGTAAGAATTTGATCCTTAGATATGCTTCTAAGCAGAAGCAGTGTCCCTGAAGTGTTTCAAAATATCTTTGAACTAAGGCAAAGCCAAGATTACTTGGGTGACACATTCTGAGACTAGGAAGGGCCGATTTGTCTAGGAAAACATTAAATGAGTTTGAGGCTGAATGTAAAAAAGCAAGGAGACTGCATGGAAACTATTTCTGGTGTGTTTATTGGTTTCTAGGTTTTAATTACTTGCATGAAACAGGCTACCATTATGATTGGAATATGGGTGACTAAATTAGCACTGTGATTAAACAAGTGTTTTTGAATTTTTTAGGATCCAAGTAGGCTACACTATGATCCTGCTGAGCTCAAGCTCTTTGAGAATATTGAATGTGAGTGGCCAGTATTCTGGACATACTTCCTAATTGATGGAATATTTAATGAGGACAAAATTCAGGTGAGAAAAGAGAAATTGCTTTCAAATTGCAAAGCCATTTACCCACGGTATTTTGGAACTTTGCTCTGTGTTTATTTTGAGTATCAGTTGGATAGCGTGGAAATAGTCTTCAGCCATTCTCACCTTCCTGGGGAGTTCATGACATGATAGAGGAGCAGGGTTGTGCACACTGGGGCCTTGTTGCCCTATCCCTGCCAGGCTGAGTGGTTCTGTTAGCTGGTGTGGTAAAACTGGGCTGAACAGGGTTTATATGCCTAGTTTTGTCTTGTCACCAACCTCGATGCCCCTTTCGCAATTACTTCGGGATGAGAGAAGCTTCTTTTCCCCAGCCTCTGTGGCTTGGCTGCTGAGAACAAGATTCGTGCTACTTTAAGTCCTGTTGTATATTCAGAGAGATTTGGGGTTGCCTTATGAGGAGCCAGTTCATTTTTACTAGTTCCATAATTCACTTCATGCCATTACTGTGTCAAGCACCCAGTGGTCAGGGCAGCTAAACTGGTTGTAGCCCTCCAAAGGTTATGGTGGCACGTGGGGAGTGTTGGTGAGTTAAAGAGCAGCAAGTAACCAGGACTAAATATATTCAGATCAGACCTTCTGTGGATTGGTGACTTGAAAGAAGTAAAAAATAAATGTGATTTAAAATCGCCTAGTGTGCAGAGGGACAGGAGATCGCTAAACTCCTTAAAAAATAAAATGACATCAGAAACAAAACAGAGAATTTTGGACCAAAAAGCCTTCTTTCTGTACCAGATGTTGCAAATCAAGTGAAATACTTACTGACACTAGGAATGTAAAATGTTTCCTGAACACAGTAAAAATGTGTTTTTACTGTGAAATGGTGAAGAGAGAAATGACATCATTTCATGAAGGGGGAAATCAGAAAGTTTACTGAAACTTCAGTCCTGTCAATAAAATAGCACTTCATGAAGCAGTCTCTAGAACTTAGATGGATTATCTGGGACAATATGTACCTGTTTGCTTTTATGTTGTGCAGACAGGCTGTGCTAGGGCATGGTCAGGGCAATTACTCCTGGTTTCCACTGTTTAAACATAGCTGAATGAGTCACTGAGACACTCAGATGAGTGTCTAGTCTTCCCCAGTTACTGCTGCAATTCTTAGAAAAACAAGCACCCTGAGGACTCAAAAAGAGTGGAGAAGGACAGGATACTGAAAATGTGAGTGTACCATAATGTGAAGCCGTGGGTTCATTACTTTGTGTGGTCCCCTGTACTCAGAAATAGCAGAAATAGAATCTCAGAGTCAGGTACTGTTAGTACTTGAAAACAGTTTCCCTCTAAGTAAAAAATTGGAATGGGATAATTGAGAAATGGAACAAATAAGGAATCTGGTAAGACAAAAATATATTACCTGTTCTTTATTTTGTATCAGTCTGCTGCTTGTGTTCGTAATTTGTTGTCTAACCACACAAGAAGATGATTTTCTGTTCAGTAAACTTAGATATTTTTAAACAGTTTAAATCAATTTTAAGCTTTCCATGGGACAAATTTTTAAGCAAATCAGTCAAAAGAAACTGATTTCCCAATCCTGCAAAGCAGAATTCAGTAAGTCATAGGCAATATGCATGGCAGAAAGCTGACAATTTATACACCTTGCACTCTTATGGATGTTGGCAGTCTGATGCCCATGTCCTGCATTGTCATCCATTGCAAATTTCATGTAGGACTTGTTCCACTGACTTCTTTATAGGGATGTGTTAGACATTTTGTGCTGCAGTGGTACATTACAGATTAAAGACGAGTGCTCATATTTCTAAGGCTGATCATATTGAGATGCGGGAACAGTCTCTGATAGTTTGAACCCTGTTCTTCCATCAGTAAGTCATGATCCCCCCCCTTTTTTTTTAATATATATGAATATTCATCAGAAAAGTATGGTTGGAAAGTACTAAAACTTTAACTTTATTGTTTCAGTTCTGCTGACTGTAATGTGAATTCTTACTCTTATTTGAAAATATTTCCAGGTACAAGAGTACAGAGAGGCTCTGGAAGGAATACTTATTAGAGAGAAGAATGGATTAGTGCTAATGCCTGAACTGTATGCAGTCCCTCCAGACAAGGTATTGTGAAAATGCAGGATCCAATTTGGGGTGCAAAGTAGAGATAGCAAGAGGAATGGTTTTATAGTTTTTCTGGTATCTGATAAATCTAAACGAGCAATAAAAAAAGACTACTGCACATTATTTGAAAAAGTAAGAGACCTCTCACAGCTCCTGCTGAGAAATGGTAAATTTTAGGCTTCCACATTGCCCCATTTCTTCCTTGGAAATCTGAATGTCTGTGAAAATATTAGAGCATGTCTAAAATTTTACATGCTTATAGCAAGATACACATTGAAGAATTGTTGATACTGACTTAGGAACTCAAGCTCAATGAAGAAGTAAAGCACAGACTGTCTTTTCTGTCTAGTCTATTGATTGATTGTGGTGCTCTTTTCCAGAGCTCGTATGGGAGACAGAAACAGGCTTCAGATGGATTGGGATTTGGGCTGGGATTTTTGTTTGTTTTCTATGGGTATTTTCTTTTCCCCCATCTTTGCTGTTACTGTTTATCTGATTCTTCCATTGTGACAGAGAAATTCAGATGAGCTTGTGTGCTCTTCCATGCTATTTGCCTTTGTATCCCTCCCTGCCAACTTCTTCTCCCACTCCAGGCTTCTCAGCCCTCACTCACTAAGGGTATGGAGCCTCCTGGGTTGGTCTGAGCTGGTCAGCCGACAGCTGATGTCTTGCTCGCAGGTGGAAACTCTGAATTGCCTTCCTAGTGGGAACAAGCGTGTAAGAGTTCAGAGCCTTCTTGTGAATTTCGATATGATGATAATAATCTGACAAACATGCCAAATAAACAGGGTAGATTTTCTCTATGTAAAGATGTAATGTAGGAGGGTTTTCCCCCTGCCCTCAGTAGGTCTGTATACTGCAAAACCAAGGCAATTGTTCTTTTTCTGAATTATAAGTCTGCTCTTAATTTTTGCATTGGCCATCCTTGCTAACACAGGAAAGGTGGAATAGCCTTAATTTTTGGAAAACAGCTTTATTTTAGAAAGCTAGGTAGACATCAGTGAAGTTAAAGTGTCATCTTGGAAGGGATTGGAAAGCAGACATCCAGTTACCTATGAGCAGCTCAGAGGGAAGGCAGCAAAGGCATGGTGAGAAGAAAGTGGAAGAGCTAACACCAAAGCTATAATTGCATGCAGAGTCCCTATTCATCCTCCAGCTTTGAAGGGTGGGGCGGAGTACAAAAAGGAAGCATAGTTCCAGTCCCAGAAAATGTGCAGCCTTAAAAGTAAAATCAAGAGATGCTTAAGTCAGTAATAATGGCAGGTTAGCAAGGGTAGATGATAGACCATATGTTTTCAAGTATTTACATGGTTACCAATTGTTCTTCACAACTTCAGGGCAATTTTTCTTGTTTATGTATTTGTTTTCAGGTGGATGAGGAGTATGAAAATCCTCACTCAGTGGATCGTGTCCCAATGGGAAAGTTGCCACATCTTTGGGGCCAATCATTGTATGTCCTGAGCTGCCTGTTAGCAGAGGTAATTGTTTCTTGTAGAGTAGGTAAGCATGTAGTTCATTTTGTTTGAGATGGCTTGAGCTTTAAGTACAATTTGGTTGTCAGATAGGAGACAATGTGTTTTCCAGTAGAAACAAGTACATGAGCCATGAAAGGGTGACTGAGTGACTGAGATTTCAGGAACTTTTTTTTTTTTTATATATATATAGACATACAACTGTCTGTTTCTAATCAAGCTGAATAAGTTGTCAGATGGACTGGCTTTAGGGTTAGGATAGAGGACTATACCAAGGCAAGGCTGATTTGGCTGTTCCAGAGCCAGGATTTTGTGGTGTTTCAGCTCCACTAGGCTATGCCTTACTCTGTGGCATAATGTGTCTGCCGAGTTGTCCCGTATTAGCCAGACTAGTTGGAGGAACCACAGAATATCTCTGTGGAGCTACAAAAAAAATCACTGGCTTGGCTAAATTATGTTGTCAGTTGCTGCAACTCTAAAATAGGAAATCTGAATATGCAGATTGTGTCAGAACCATTTTCTTGTTGTTCCAAAAAATAGTGCATCCCTTGTTCTTATTGAATGTACTCCTTGGTGGCCAGGGTAGATAAACCAGGCCTTAAGTCCTGCTGTACTGAAAAAATACTTCAAAAATTAGTTAAGATTTATTCTAGATATCAGAAGCCTTTTGTTTAAAATCTATTTGCTTCCTTTCTTTTATCTTTCTTTTGCATTTATTCTAGGGATTTCTTGCTGCAGGTGAAATTGATCCCTTAAACAGGAGATTTTCCACTGGATTTAAACCTGATGTTGTGGTACAAGGTGAAGGAGTTTTTTCAACATTCTGGGTGAATTGAATTGTGTGGTGACAAAGTCCCTAAGTACAGGAGAGAAGAAAGATATGTTAAAAATAAGTGGATTTTTGCTTGGGACACAGATGCTTTAATGAAACTGTGAGACAGAGAAAGGGGTTTAACACACTTCATTAAAAAAAAAAACTTGCTAAAATTTTAAGTCGTGAGGGACTGGAGAGTGGAAAACTTAATCTTAGAGAGAAAAGGAGAAGCTTGATGCATTCTAGAAAAAAAAAAAAAAGCAGGACTGACTGGACATGGATCAGTTTAATTAGGTTTATGTGCAGCCCCTTTCCCAGAGCAACTGGAGAGCACTGGGTGAGGAGAATCCCTGTCCACAGGGGTGAGGCAGCCAGACTTAGGGCTGGCTTTTGGCTGCTGCAGGAAGTGGCTTCTTCAGTTAGTGCAGGAACAGGCAAAACCAGAAAATTTAGATGAGGGCAAACACCAGCTGATCAGGTCTTTAAGACTTTTCAAGGGCTTGTACTGCTCTGAAAGAGCAACCATCTTGTTTATCAGGAGCAGCATTTATCAATGATACTGTGACCTGGGCTGGTGCTTGTTTATCCCCTGTTGGTATCTCATGGTGGCAGCATTTTGTTATTTTGAAGTGCTCAATTTCCAGTAGAAATAGAAGTGCTGGATTATTTTTAGCATTCTTTGACAATTATTCACAACACAAGGAACAATACTGAATTATTAGTCCCAAACCAATAAGCCACCTATCATGGGTGAAATGTCAAGCGGGACAAGAGATGGATTCAGGGCCTGGATTGTAAATTCCACTGATTTGGGGAATTTTTTTTTCTCCTTACCTCTGCCATTTTATGTCCTTTGTAAATTTATTGCTATACAAGTAACAGCACCTGTTCCCCAGGGATTTGGCTGTATTGTTACATTGTGCTGTGTTAAAACCACAAAGATTTTCAAGTTGTGTTTCCTCTTGTTTATGGGGTAAAAGCCTTATCTGCTAAAAGCTACTGCATGATCCAAACTGGTGGAACTGAAAGAAATAAGAAGAAACTGATAAAGTCTCAAAGAATCTTGTGTAAGCTCAGCAGGTCTGATCCTGCTTTGAGCAGGAGGTTTGAGTAGAGACCTCATGAGGACCCTTCCAACTTGAATTACCATGTGGTCCAAAGTGGACAGGAGTAGCAAGAAATATTGAGAAGCAGAAAATCAGAATCTGTCTGACGCCCTCTTGCAATCCCTTTTGATCTCACAGGCTCATAAATTAAGAAAGACGTGAGGTCTTCGTGCCTTTTTAGTTAACAAAATGCATTAGTTGAGAGGTGACAGTAGAGATAGTCAACTAAAAAGGGTAGAACATTGTTTCTTAGTAGTGTTTTTGTTTTCTGTTATGCAGTAACTGTTTTAGCAGAATCTAATCATATTAAGAACCTCTTGCAAGACCGTGGAATCAGTGTGCAGAGCATTGCTGATATCCATCCGCTCAGAGTGCAGCCAGCTCGCATCCTGAGTAACCTCTACACCATGCTGGGTTAGTATTGGAACATGGAAGCTTCTCTACTGCTGTGCAAGGTCTTATTTTAAATGAGTCATGTTTTGTTTTTCTTGCTTCACACTGTCTTAATTTCTTTAATTTAATTTCTTTTATTTAAATCAATTTCTCTGATCTAAAAAAAAATGTGTTTGTGCAAAGAAGCTTAACAAACTTAGAACTTCTGTCTTAAATAAGGGACTCAAACAGGAAAAAAAATTGCCTCATTAGAAACAGTGGTGAAAGTACCAGTTTCCCCGTGCCCTTGGAGTTAGGCAAGAACTGACTCTTCTTTTGTCCTCCAGCAGCTACTTCAACAGAGAAATAGACTTTATTAAAAATACCTGGAAAAATACAGAAAAAAAATCAAGTGTTTCTCCTTTCAGAAGTCAGAGTATTTCTGTTTTAAGTCTGGAAAATGGGCAGTGTTATTGCCATTACTCCCAGCAGGCAACCTGGGAAGTTTTCTGCTCCAAATCAGGGAAGCCATGCTGCTGCCATCAGAGCATCTTTGGGCTGTCAAGTTCTTGCTAAAGCTCCTTCCAACCCTGAGCTGAGTTGAGCTGCTGAAGCTCTCTGTCTCATTTGCAAACCTAGAAGCCTTTAGGGTGTTTCTAAACTTGGGACTGAAAGTACATTCCAGTTCCTCAGCAGTGGTCCTCAAGTCCTGTTTTCCTCAGAGCCTGAGAGCCAAATTAAATAAAAGCCCCAAAACTCCAACTGGGTCTAGTTGTTGAAAATAGTTTGATAGCTGTTACTTGATAATCCTTGCTGGAATTATTTGTGTCATGCTGGAAAACTTGTTACACGTATTCCTAATTGAATTTAGTTTTACTTCTTCAGGCATGCCAGAACTCCTGACTCAAAACTGTGGATGTTACTACAAAGTAAAATTGAGGTGGAGTGAATCAGCACTGGTAGATTCCTTTACAGTGTGGGCAAGGGGAGCACTATCATGCTTCTTTATCAGTCTGAAGCACGTTTCCATGGCAATTTGGTTACAGATAATGCTGAGGGAGAAGTAAGAAGCTGCTCATTAGATGAACATCTTTTTGTTGTTGTGGTAGTTTTTGGTTTGTGGGTGTTGAGTTTTTTTCATTTAATACGAAGCTTATTTTGGAAGCATGCAAAGTATTGGGGCCTTCAAATAAGTTTCAAAAAGTATGCCCTTTACACAGAGAAAGGAAATTGTATATGCTGCTTTTGGGAAAGAATCTGTCTCTTTTATCACAAAGTTCTTTAAAAAAAATGAAACATTTGCAGGGCTTTGCTGAACCTTATATTTATTTCATTATGATTCATAATAGCTTTCTTTCACTAATGGGGGGTTGTGAGTAGGATGATGTGGCACACTGATACATTGTTTTTAACAGTGACTTCTCTGGGAATGTTCACAGTAGTATTTTTTCAGGCACAGGATTGTTTGGCTCATATTCCTTGTCAGACAGATTCAAGTCAGCTCCTGGCTTCTGGTGCAAAGGTTGTAGTGCAGATCATTTGCTAATAAGCTCTACTGGGAAAAGTGGAGCTTATTAGCCTGATGAAAATCTGTGTTTGTATTTGGATGTACTTTGCATGTTGATTTAGCCTTCTTCAGGCAAGAATTTTTAAGGTTCTATAGTGAAAGCACTGCAATTTCTGTGGTATGTTGATGGCCTGGTTTTTGTAATGTCGCACCTCCTGTCCTTGATGGGGAAGCTTTGGGTAATGACTGTAATTATAAGACCCAATTCCATGGTCATTGGAGCCAAAATTTAAATTTTTAATCAGGCCTTTGAAGGCCTCTGGCTGTTTTATTGGTGGTTGCTACAAAACCGACCAGTGTGTAGCATCTCGCTCTGTTACCTGTCTTCTGCCTTGCTGGTATTAGTGAAGTAGATTTTGCTGTCTGAAGTGGTTATTTTGGAAAACCACACAGCAAATTCTAGCTGAGACCTTTTTTCTTTCTCTTTTCTTCACAGGCCGGAATAAGAAGATGAAATTAAGTGGACGGCCACACCGACACATTGGAGTGTTAGGCACCTCCAAGCTGTATGTGATAAGAAATCAAATATTTGCTTTTACCCCACAGGTGAGCATGTAAAGCTGGCAGGAAAATCACTCCTTATTTAATGGCAAATCATTAGTGAAGCGCTTCGCTTTTATGTGCTGTCACTGTACTTTAGGTAGAACAGGGCTGATGCAGCAGATGTGCTTTGCTTTGCAGCGTTTTTAAGAGTGATGGATAATCAGCATGGTAGAACTGCTGATAAATCTCTCTTCTGTCCTACAGAGTTTGGCTTCTTTGGCTTCTGAGAACACAGAAAATCAATAGTCCAAAGTTGTTACTGATCTCTGCCGAAACCTAGGTAATGAAATAGTTTCTGCAGAAATACATCCCTTAATATTGCTTTAATGAAAAATTTAGCACCACATAAGGGTGCCAAGTACTGTAACCCCCAAGTGATGAAGATGTGATCTTTTCCTTATATTGTTGAAAGGGTCAGTAGTGCTGAGAAAGGGATGTTCTGTCTTTGTTTTCACTTTAGTGCATTTTTTCAGTGTAACTGGAAGTTTGGATCCTCACGGAATCAGTGGCTCTTACTTTTACATTTAATGAAATACAACACACTTATTCCAGTAGAGTTATTCTAGCAGCTGGTACTAGGAGACCAGTCACCTGCTCCAAGCATGTACAACTGGAGCAGGATAAAGAGTGTTTCCACCCTTCTGAGTAGATGTGTGACTAATGTAGTCTTTAAACTCTAGTGGAAGACATTCAGTGAACTCTGTAGAATGCTTCTGTAGTGCTTCATAATGCCCAAACAACATCAGATTTACTGCAAAAAAATGTAGCTCCCTTCTCGTTCTTCCCCACATCACTTGATCACAAGCAGCTTTATAGCATGTTATTTGCTGTGTTACTCCCCTAAATCAATTTTCACTTTTGCAATTAAGGGAAAAATTCCTTAGAGACATGGTTTTTTTCAAAATACCTCTTCATTCACATCTTACTTTGTAAGTAGGACCCAATATTCCAGCTGAAGTCTTGCCACGTATCAAGTATGGACGTACTTATTAGTATATTCCAGAATTGCATTTATCTTTACATTAGCAACACAGTGACAGTTCCTGCTTATTCTATGTTTGACTAAAACCTCCATAACATTTTCAACTGTACTTTGTAGCCAGACATTCCCCCTGAGATTTTTTTTTTAGGTGGATGGAGTTAATGTTTAATGTCACTTTCCTATGACCAGCAGTTAAGTCCTCTTATTGATCTTGACTAGTGTCCACAAATTTTGTGGTTTTGTCGTTTGTATTTAATTCTCTTTTCTAGTGAAAATATTGATTAGGTGTGGGGCAAAGGCTGACTCCATTTCAGATACATTGTCATTCTGAAAAAATGGTTAAGAACTATCTTCTGAGAACAATTTTAAAAGTAGTTCTACCTTCTTGGACGTTTTTTCTTCAGCTCAGTAGTGTGAAAATTTGCAAAAGTTGAGAGATGTCAGCCATTTTCTTATAGCTACCATCTGATTGCTCCAAAGAAGGAAATTGGACTAATTTGCTGAGATTGGTTTTTGGCTACATTGCTTTATCATTTTGTAATTATCTTAGCTGTCTCAAATTGGCTTTGCTTTCCTATGCTTTCAGGCACTGGAATTGGCCTGACTTTTAAAATGGCTCTTCCTTTTTAAAGACAGGCAGTGTGTTTTCTTCTCTCTAGATTTCTTGTTCTTCCTGAATTACCTGAATTACCAAAGCTAATTGTGAGTGGTTCAAGGATTGTTTTGGCTAGTTCTTAATTCTTTCTATGAAGTAATTTCTCTGGACTTTGCCAGCCTGAATTTACATGCTCTTTACGTGTTTGCCCCTCCCCGAGGCTTATGGGCTTCCTTAACTTTTGTTGTGGCTGCTTTTGACATACTTGCCATTATTTGTCCAGCTTTTTTGTTTCCAGCTCCTGAAGGAGCCATATTAGTCTCTTACTGTGGTTCTTGGCTTTCTGCTGTAAGTGGGAACAGCATACTTTGCCACTGTACATTTAATGTACCTTTTTTCCCCCAGTAACTGCCACCTTTTCTGTATTCTGCTTGACTTTCAGATTGTTCCCAAGAGACATCCAGTTATTGGCTCCCAGTCCCCAGTGTGCCCTTAAGCCTGTTTATTGTTTTTGTTGCTATTGTTAACTTTTTCTTCCATGTTTAGAGTACTCCCATCTTCCAGGTCATAGGATAGTATAATTTGGCATCGGGAAGATTCTGCTTCATGGGTGTGATTGCCTACTTTTTGTTTGTATGGCTCACTTTGATGGTCAATCTACAAGTGTAGAAAAATGGACTCTTGCACAAGCATGGATTTCTTTTGCACAGTCTCATGCCATTTGTGTTGTGGTCAGGAATAGCTCATATGGCTTTTGTGACTGATATAAGGGGGGAAGTAGAAAAAAATAAGAAAAGCACTGACAACTGCTCCTGTGTCATGTTTTTCTCTTCTTTAGTTTGCTGACCAGCATCACTTCTATCTGGCTCTAGACAATCAGATGATTGTGGAGATGCTCAAGACAGAGCTGGCTTACCTCACTTCTTGTTGGAGGATGACAGGGAGACCAACCCTGACGTTTCCCATCACTCACACAATGCTTGGTAAAAATTTTCTCTGTCTCAAGCAGAGTATATTACTGCAGGGGAATAGGATGGACATCAGTTTGAGAGGAGACAGGTGGCATGACTTCTAACTTCAGAAGTACAGTTTCATTTTTTCCATGTGTATGCTGAATTTGGATGACATGGTAGTATTTCATTTTAGTTTTACCCTCCTTTATATCCTCACATCTCCATAGTATTTCTGTCTAAAGAAGTTTCATATAAATCCCTTTGGAACTTGTCTTGAGCGGGTTGATTTTTGTCTTTAGAACTTGTCTAAGGGTTGTGTTTTGTTTGCATGTTTGTTTTGGATTTTTGAATAAGCCTAGTATTGATAGCAGTTTTGGATTCTGCTTTAAATTTGTCTGATTTGGGTTTTAGAGAACACCCAGTAATTCACTTTGTTTGGACATGGTAGTTTAAGAATGTGTTGGTTAGCTTCAACTCTTCCATTATTCTTTTTTAGTTGATGATGGCACTGACATTCATCCAGCAGTTCTTGCCACAATAAGAAAATTAGAGGATGGTTATTTTGGAGGTGCAAGGTAATGTCAGAACCCCCAAATTATTATCTCCGTGATTTTTTAAATTAAATCCTATAAAAGTCTCAGTTTTGAACTTGTCATGGTGCACAGACCTTGTACTAGAACTCTGCAGAGAAGGAGGTTTCAGCTTTAATTGTTATATGGCAATCAGATGGTAGCTGGACCTCAGATGCAGTGGAAAAGAATTGTCTCCCAAAGGGTGTACCATCTCTCAAAGCCATCAGTGGATAAGGAAAATAAATGCCAAACCTGTGGAAATAAAAGGTCTTGGTCTTGGCTGGGCTTCTGTTATGAAGAAGTAAATTTTTTTCACAGTTATTGGACGTGATTTAAACATAAATTGCATGTAGTACTAGTAAGCTTATGTGTTCTATTCATCTACATATAAAATATAATGCCACAGTACCTCCCTATTCTCTTCTTACATGCCCTCTCTCAATCAGTATCTTCCTTTGACAATCAAATGTTGTCATGGTTTAACTCCAGTCAACAACTGTGCCCCACACAGCTGTTCACCCATTCTCCCCTTAGTGGGATCGGGGAGAGGACTGGAAGAGTAAAAGTGAGAAAACTCTTGTGTTGAGATAAAGACAGTTTAATGGGTAAAGCAAGAGCCACGGATGCAAGCAAAGCAAACCAGGACATTTATTCCCCACTTCCCATGGGCAGGCAGGTGTTCAGCCATCTCCAGGAAAGCCAGGCTCCATCAAATGTAGCAGTGACTTGGGAAGACAAACCCCATATCACCAATCATTCTCCCCTTCCTCCATCTTCCCTTGGCTCTGTATGCTGAGCATGACACCCTATGGTATGGAATGTCCCTCTGGTCAGCTGGGGTCAGCTGTCCCAGCTGTGTCCCCTCCCAACTCCTTGAGCACCCTGTGCTGGTGGAGTGAGGTGAGAAGGAGAAAAGGTTGTGATGCTGTGTAAGCACTGCTCAGCAGTAACTGATACATCCCAGTGTTCACAACACTGTTTCCAGCACAAATCCAAAGCATAGCCCAATACTAGTTAATTTGAAGATAATTAACTCTACCCCAGCCCAAACCAGCACAGATATGATTTGTGTTTTAGCAGCACTGCAGTTCTGTGAAAAGATACTGCTGTTTGTGGAACTTCCGAGCCCCAGTTTCTCATGTATTATCCTTAGAGTTTAGGTCTTTGTTTAGGGTCTCTCTTCATAGAAATGTAGAGCACCCTGTAAATTAGGCTTCGAGTCAGGCCAGTAGGTGTCACCGTAACGGAGTTAAAAGTTCAATTAGTAGCTAGAGCAGTAAGTACCCAGCTGGATCTGCAACTCTTGTTTTGCTTTTTTTTTTTTTCAGTGTCAGTATCTGCTGCTTTGTAGTTACCAAAGGTGGATTCAACAGTAGGTCTGATAAATTTTGGAGGAGTTGCTGAAAGCTCAGTGAGCATTAATTGGTATCAAAATGGTGGATGTTAATGCTCCTTGGCATGTGTTCCTGTTTGCAGGGTGAAGATAGGCAAGCTATCAGAATTTCTTACCACATCTTTTCATACATATCTGAGCTTCCTGGATCCAGACTGTGATGTAAAATTGTTTGATGACCGTAATGAAGACTGTAATAGTCCTGACAGTGAATATGGGGACTATCCAGCAGATTTCTGTGAAAAAGGTAGTAGTGTTTTTTCACTTCTTATATTTTCTCTGTCAAGTTCTATCAGCAGACTCTGGGTTTACCTACAATGCAGAATCTATTCTGTGCACAGCTGACAGTGATTTGGGTTTCTCATGCACTCTTCTGAGGACAGTTAGAACCTGCATGACTTATTTGGGGGATGAATTCCTGCGTTCTTCCTACGTTCGTAGTATGGTATTGACTGGTAACTGCTACAGTAAACCTAAGCCTGAAGAGCTGGCAGATGGGGAGGTGTGGAAGAGGCTGGAGGGAGGAAGAGACTGTGAGGAGTCATAGACAAGAGCTTGTGTGGAAGAGATGATAGATTCTTAGAATCATACAGGCTGGAAAAAACATTTAAGATCAAAAAGTCCAACTGTGCCAACTAGACTTCCAGCAAGAAAATTGATTCTTCCAAAGGAAAATCAACTTCTTAATCTAATTGTTTTCAAAGTTCCAAAAACTGGTTATTTTTTCTTTTCTTTCCAATTTATTTGGCTTAGAAAGCTCTATCTTATGATATTCTTGCATTTTTTGAGTGCCTTTCTATATAAGCAAAAATAGTGGTGCGTTTGAATAAGAAAGCGCTGATAAATTAGGATTTTACCTTTAATAAATCTTTTCTTTTATGTCTGTTACACTAGATAGCCAGGATGAGCTGGATCAGTATATAAATGATGTCCTGCAGAGTACAGCACTGAAGTCATACCTGCCTCCAACTTCCAAGACAGCCAATCAACCACCAGTGTTCAGTGCAAACCATTCCACAGAAGAGATACTGTCAATAATGGCCAAGACAAAGGGCTTGGAGGTTCCAGGTATTTCTCCCTATTATAATACTAGAAAAACTGTTTTGGGTGCTACAAGGGGTAAGTTCAAGCATTTCAAAATTATGCCTTTTAACATACTCATACAACTGGTTCTTTTTGTATAGAGAAGAAACAATGACTTTGAGCTGTTGCTGTTGTGTTCCCACAGTATCCCAGGTCATGCTGTATACGTAGAAAAACTGCTATGAAATAAAACATTTAATCAAAGTTGATGTTATGGAAACTGCTCCAACTTCTCAGTTGAATAGAATTTCAGTCAGTTTTTGTCTTTATTTATACAAAGGCAGACAAAATGTATTTTTTTATTTTAATAAAGCTGTAGTGAAAGGGAATGTTTCAATGCAAGAAAAGCATAAATATGTGCATGTGCTTTCTGAATTTGTAAGAACAAATGGAGTAGAGAGGGAATACAGTATTTCTAATTATGCTACATTTCTTCTAGAGTGATTGGAGAATATACACCAAAATAATGCTTTGACTGAATTTGCAAATAGACTCCAACCTATGCATTGTTTTGTGGGTAGATATGTAGTATTCAATGCCCTGATCAAGGGAAGGCTCCCCTTAACTTCATTGTAAATTAATAACTTTCAAGCTTTTTCGTTAGACTTTTCTCCCATCTTTCATGTGCCACACCACCATATCCTCTATTGAATTCAGCACATGAAGTTAACAGAGCATTAGCATGCATTTAGCATTATAATTTTAATTCTGATATCTTACCAGTTGGCCATCTTTTCTACTTTATTCCTGTTAAAATGTTTAAAACACTTAGCAGGGTCAGGCTGGGATTCTGAGTTGAGCATGTAGCACCTGAGCCTTTGACATGCTGATCTTGGAACAAACTTGCAAGGAGATACAGGAAGAGCTTATCTCAGAGCTCCATGCACAGCATCTCAGAAGCATTGCCTCTGTATATTTCAGGTTTTTTCACATATATTTTTACCTGGTATAGCTGCTTCATGTAGGTGTTTTTGATTTTTGTGTTATTGACTTTTTTTTTCTTTTTGTTCCGGTGGCTTCACTTTCCAGCCGTGCCAATGTCTCTTCCCACTAAAGTTCTGAACACACACCGAAAATCTCTGAATCTTGTTGATAATCCCCATTTCTTTCAGACAAAGGTAAGCTGTGGGAATTTTTATGCTGCTTGAGGTTTTAGGACTAAGTGCTATAGCCTTTCCTTGTGTTTTACATCCAAACCCTATGCCAGTTCTCGTTTTCCTTCACAAGCCATTCTATCTAAGGCACTCCCTTGTTTTGGAATTTATTTTTTTGGCTGGATGAAGGTTTTTTAGTCCAATAGACTTTATCAAGTGGGAAGTTTTTAACTGCATGTGCAGAACAGAAATAATATAATAGCTGCTTATGTTTAGAAGCCCAAGGTTAAGTAATCATCTTTAGTTCTATCTGAACACAAAGGGAAGGACAGGATGTTCAAAACCTTTAGAGATGTTCTCCAAGAAATGCTACTTACAGTAATGTCCTTAAGGCACCAGCCAAATCCCACCTCAAGGCATGAAGATGGAGTTGTGCTCGGCTCTTTTTTTGTCTTGGTATATGGTAACCAGCTGCTGAGAATGGTTAAAGGAGATTGTATCCAGCCTCCTAAGGGATTCTGCTCTGCAAAAAGCTCTTTTTGTCAAATGTTTTTTTAGGACCATATAAATTGCTGAATAGCTTGTTAAACAAAACTTTTCATCAGAGAACTGCCCACAGGGTTGCATCATCTGATTAGTTAACATTTTAGTTTCATCATGACGGCAATATCTGCATCCGTAGAGCACCACGTATATACAGGTTCAAGATAGAACTCAAAAAGGTCTAAATTATTTCAACTGAAAAAAAGATAGTGTCCCTCTGCTTTTCTCTTTACAAGTAACATAAAATGAGATGAAAAGCATGCAAATAATTTGGTTTCTTTATTTTGTCAAAAAAAGAGGCAAGGTTCCATTCTGGGTGTTGTGTTTCTGGGGATTAGTCCCCCGATTAGTAGCCCCGCAAGACTTATGTAATGTGTCTGTATTTCAAGTGCAGAGTTTTGTTTCAAGTCTGTTGTAATTTTTTAATGGGAAGTTACTGTTTGAATTTGATTGACTATGTTTTTCAAGATCATGTGTTTGATTTTTCATCCTTCTTTGTTATCAGGACCGTGAAAATGTCTTGCACTTACCTAAAGATGCTCATGGTGATTTGGATTGCCGGAAGCTTGTTGATCAGCTGAAGGAATGTCCAACACTCCATGATCAAGCAGACATCTTATATATCTTGCATATATTAAAGTGAGTTGTCTGAATATGAACTTAAGCATCTTTAAATTTGGTCCCAACTATGATTATTCTTGTGCAAAACCTTTGTGGGGAGAATTGCTCCCCAGGGTTGTGCTTTGAGGGGAGAATTAAAATATTTTGTGCTTTAACAAGCATATTTTCAGTTAGCTTGATTACATAAATTATTTGTATACAAAAGAATACTTGTGTAAATTTTAGAGTAGATTAGCACACAGTTACAGGCTCCAGGGCTCACAAATGAACTGCACAAGATTTTTCCATGAATGAAAACCCACCCTGCTATATTTGTGGCATTCTGTTTAAAGTCCACAAAGATTTGCTGTGATTTTCATACCTAAGAAGGGAAGCAGAGGAAAACTTCATCATGTCATTTTCTAACTAAAAGCAAAATGCAATTTTAATGAGTGGTCTCTAGTTTTCCTCTAATCCTTGTGCATGTTAAGTACACCACTGGCTAAAACTTGGTACTTTTCAAAACATTCTTGGTCCAGTCTAGGCCCATCTACTGGGGTTAGTAAACACTTCCTATTTAAACAGGTTTTATGGGAACAAAATGCAAATACAAACCAACAGAATCATCTTCTGGAGTGCATTTATTGGGCATTTTTTGCTGTGCAGGAGAATACTGCTGGAACCTGACAGGCAGTTAGCTTTGGGTGCAAAGACAAGCATGTGTTAATCACAGATGGTCTTCCCTACTGCTACAAAGATTGTATTTTTGTTTATTTTAGTCTGTCTCCTGTGAGGACTTATTCTTTAATCTTCATTTCCCAAGCAAAATGTTTAGCAGCCTCTCTTAAAGAGCAAAGGAAATCCTGAAAAAATATCATTTTGTTGTTTAACTGCATCTAACACCATTAATTCCATAATCTGGACTTGTTTCACCATGGGAGTTCTATTGGACAGGCTGGTTGACTTCTGGTGGACTCTGTCTCAGCAGGAATTGAAAAGTCATTCTGTGACACTTCAAAACATTACCAAAGAGAAGCCATAATGCAGTGAATTTCAAAAACAGGAGAGGAGCAGAAATCTTCTTTGCTTTTCAGTAATGGCATAAGCAACATTGAAGTTTAGTTAATAGCTAAGGAAGAGGCAGGGCAAAAAACTTCCCCTGAGGCATCTGAAAAGTAGGTGTAGTCTTCAGCAGAATTTGTTGCCGAATTCTGCTCTGAAAAAGCACTACATGGAGTGTTCCTGCAGCAAACTGTCTGTATGAATGCTCAGTTTAAAGTCTGGTGAGAAATCCTTTGGATGGTTCCTTTTAAGTCACTGGCTCACAGCTAAGTGAGTGCTCAAATTAGTGAGAAAGTTCTGGTATCAAGAGGGTTTTGTCCACACATATCAGATCTCTGGTGAATGCCCAGATGTCCCATGTAGTATTTCATCTTGTCACCAATGTGAGCAAGGTGATCAAAATCCGGCTGCGTTTGTGTGGTGATGTTAAGCAATGTAGCATCTTACCTGGTGACAGTTACCTTCTGTGTCTTTTGTGGCAGAGGTGCTGACTGGGACACAGAGCTGGATGGACAGTATGGTGTCACTGTTCATTGCCTACTCAACGAGCTCTACAGAAAGGCAGGCCTCAATCAAGAATGGGGCTTAATCCGTTATATTTCCGGTATACTCAAAAAGAGAGTGGAAGTCCTGGCTGAGGTATGAAACATAAATAATCCTGGCTCAGTTTCCTTCCTGGAAACAGAGATAAAACTACCAGTTTGCCAGAGGGACTTGTGCTTTCCCTTCGTCTGGTCTTACTTCACACCACAGATAGTGAAACACTTTTAAGTAAACGTTGGTTGCTTTTCTGATCTAAATCTTATTAAGGCATCTTTACCTTTTGTCTGTACTGCGAACGGTGATTAATTTTGGCATGGACTGAGAATGTCCCACTATCACTGTAAATGGTTGTGAAGGCTTTATTTCATCTCTTGTAATTGGAGAAGCCTAATTACGTGTTTTGAAAGCTGCAGTTGTCACTGGTAGTTGTCTACTGCTTCTGTGATGGCACAAACACTTTTGGAGCAGCGCTATGTTAAGGTGTGAGTGATGACACAAAAACATGTTCTGCCAATTTCCATCCCATTGGGTGGACAGTCTGCCATATACGTGGATGTTTGGAGGCATTAAAATATCTGGGACTGTTAACTGGTAACAAGAAAAATCCGTTGTAAGGGTACAGATTCAATTTTGAACATTACAAAAATGTTTCCTCTCAACTACTCTAAGCTATTTGTTTAATTTCCTAGTTATCCTACACACAGAATTTTTTCCGTTCTCAAGACACAGTGGATGAGCAGTACGGACACACTCACAGAAAGCCATGTATATTAACTGACAAAAAATTGAGGAGGAAGAGAGTAGAGATGATTTGTTTTCTTCCACATTAAGGGAGGGAAAATAGACTCTTCAAAGTCAGAGGAATGTTGCTATGTGAGCTTTTCAATTCAGGATGCTAAAACAAGTAAACTGAACACCCATTTTTAAAGGAGGTCAATACAAAAGAGTAAACACTGTGATATTGGTGGAAGTACCTATTTCAGAATGTATCAGGATAGCTAATTCAGGAATGTGATGCACTGTGTTGGGTGTTTTCTTGTTTTAAGAGATATATTAATATGCAGGATTTTTTAAGCTAATATTGCCAAACTTTTCATTGATTTAAAATATTTTTGTCTTAAATAAAAACAAAAGTTTATCATATGATAAAGAATGAAAGCCTTTATTATCTGCCAGCCCCACTGAAGTACTTCATCATTATGCTGCTGATTTCACTGAAAGGGGGAAGCAGCTTTCAGACTGGTCATACCCTCATAGCCCTGTTGACCTCAGGAGATCCTTGGCATCTAGTTAATAGCATTCTGCTGGATCTTCATATATGGTAATTAATAGAAATGCACTTAAAAATTGCTAAAGAAATGCTTCATTTTTGGGAATTAAAAGCTGTGTCACTTCCACATGATTCAGAGAAAGGTCTCTTGCTTTCTGTCCCCTTACGATAGGCATGCACAGACCTTCTGTCGCACCACAAGCAACTGACAGTGGGCCTGCCACCAGAACCCCGAGAGAAAATCATTACCACGTAAGTTGGAGCTCTGCCTCAGTTACAGAGGCAGCCTGCTCTTCATCTTCCTGCCAGTACCATTCTGATGCTGTTATCTTCTTTTAAAACTTACTCCTCATCTTCAAAAGGATTTGCAGCCACCCAGGCAGAACTGTAGGCACCTTTGTGGTGCGGAGATGTTTCTGGGTGATGATTCCAGTGCTTGCTCAAGAGTTTTAATAGCTGGTTGTGCCGAGTCACTGCTTGCTGTGGTTTGTCTTCTTGCAGCCCACTGCCACCTGAGGAGCTCACAGATCTCATTTATGAAGCCAGTGGCCAAGACATCAGTATTGCAGTCCTGACACAGGTAAGCAGCATGTGTCAAAGGCTTCTTTGGCTGTGCCCAGTGTGGTGCCAGTGTTTGCTCTGAGACTGGGAAAGCCACGAAGGCCCACTTTGAATGGCTGCCCTTTTCCTTGCAGGAAATAATGATGTACTTGGCAATGTACGTCCGGTCCCAGCCCAGTCTTTTTGTGGAGATGCTCAGGCTCCGCATTGGTCTGATAATCCAGGTGATGGCCACTGAGCTGGCTCGGAGTCTGAAATGCTCAGGTAAGAGGCACTTTTATCATAAGGGTACTGATGGCATCATCTTTGCCTCACCCTTAGTCGTTGATCTTTTCATTAATATATGTTAAATCCTTTTATTAACCTCTCCATTCATATGTGCAGTTACTAACTTTGAAAATCACTTTTTTTTTCACTTAATGGAAGATTCCTCTCCCCCATCATCTAGTTATTCAAACTGAAGTGGATATTCTTTATGGAATAACTCCGACTTTGTAATTTAGATCTACAGGTGATTCGCTGTTGGGAAATGGCTGTAATGCTTTTCCAAGTGATCTTGTTTTCTCATCATGAGCTTGAAAGAAATTTTGCACAAGCTACAACATAATATTCATTAATGAAATAGTGTTATTTCTATGCAGTGTTTGTTGTTTAGTCCTGAAATGTATTTTCTTTGAAATGTGACTCTGCGTATTAGTTTTTTTAAAGGAAGTGCAAGCCAAAAGGTTAGATGTGATTGGACTTCATTCATCAATATTTTTCTGAGTTGGCTTGTTGCTTTCCCACAGCAATGCTTGTCTTTTGTTTTCTTTTGTTTTACTAGGTGAAGAAGCTTCAGAGAGTTTGATGAATCTAAGCCCCTTTGATATGAAAAGTCTCCTACATCATATTCTCAGTGGGAAAGAGTTTGGAGTGGAAAGAAGCTGTAAGTTGTCCACTTGGCTACTTGTATATGTTAAGTGAGAACTATAAATATAAAGTTAGATTGTCTTATAAGTGGGGATCTATTCTCTCAACTTGTAAAATAGATGTATAGGTAGTGTATTAATCATTGGTGACCAGTACATGTGTATGCCTGCTGTGGAATAAACAGAACAAATATGATGGAAGCTATCCTGCACTGAAATAAGATTGTATCAAGTTTTCAATAATACGAAGGCAAACTTCTAAACTGAAGAAATTTTATGTGACCAGAACAAAAGCCATTAAAAAGGACATATCTAACCTGCCTTCAATAAGCACATCTGTGATGCCCACATATTCCTGACTGGTGCATCAGCTGTCTCCTGGGTTCATATGTAGGCTCTCACAGACTCATTGCAACTCCTGACATCTTTTACAGCTACAATTGCTCAGTGTCTTGGAAAATCAGTCTCCAATATCCAAATATGGATGTAGGCCCCTTACTTGATGCAATCAGGTTTGAACTCTTGACTTGAAAGGATGCTGTCAACCAAGAGCATTGCACACTTCTGAAAGGATATGTGTTTAACATCTAGATACAATTTCATCTGTTTTTCTACCCCTACAATGTTAAAAATGTCCATTTGCTTCTTTCAGTGCGACCTGTAGATTCCTCTTCATCTAGCCCTGCGATTTCTATTCGTGAAATGGGGCATTCTGGAGCAACCAAAACAGAAAGAAGTGGTATTACTAAATTGAAGAGTGAGATGAAGCAGGTGAGGGTTTTACTAAATTGAAGAGTGAGATGAAGCAGGGTCAATGCTCATCAGAAAGTGCAGCTGTTCTGGAACTGTGTTAATGTTAGGTTCTATTCTTGCTACATGACAGAAGTTTCCAAAGCTTTGATTTTAAAGCTGATCACTAACTAGAAGGCAGTTACGGGATGTTTCCTCCAAAAATGTGCTGCCTTTTTTGTTCTTGTTTCACATGCTGAAAATAGAATAACTTGAACAAACTCTAATGCATTCACGGCATCCACTGTAAAAACAGCTCTTTTATCAACTTTAGCTAAGGAAAGGTCAGATACACAAAGTAAAGCTTTCATGCAGTGTTCATTCTTGTACTTGACCCAAGTTGCAAAAATGGACCACATGCCTTTTGGAAAAGATACACGTGGAAAAGGAATCTTGGTTTGTTTTCTTCTAATTCTGTTTCTTCAGAATAGAGGACGATTATTGGTGGCAATAAAGATAAGTTAGTGATTCTTCACAGGACCTGATCAGGCAGAACAGCAGAGGCCCCTGTGAAACACGTGGTGTCTGTCTCACGAGACCTGTTTGCTGTGTTTGGGCCAAGCTGATACAGCTGTGGCTGTGAAGGTGCTGACTGCTCTGCACCAGCCCTGAATGACTGTGCAGGGCTCACAGTCCTGCAGTGGGTGTCTGTCCAGGGAGGAGAAGGGACAAGGCACTAGGTGGCAGCATTATTTTGATTTAAATACAGTGGTGGGCCTGAGCTGAAATACTTGGGCCTTAGTTGATGTTACAAGTGTAGTTCCTGCACTGCTTTTGCATTAGATGGAAACTTGGTATTTTGCACAGAGGAGGAGTTGCCTGGTTTTATTTTTGTTCCCCCGACTTTGCCTTTCATGCTACATCCTGCTACATCTCACTGCATTCTCTGAATAATTTACTAGATACTAATGTAATGTCATTTTGGCAGGGGGTTTGGGTAGGGTGGTGCAGGATCAACCTTGTTGTTAGAGGGAACGTTTCAAGTACTTGTACTCACATCTCTGTACGTGTTGAGCAACTGCAGCTCTCTCATTTACTGCTGTTCTTTTCTTGCATCAGAACATCAAGCCTTTGCCTGGGTCTGAACCATTAACACTGAACGTGGAGGCATGGCTTGGGGTGGGCAGAGAAAAGTGCTGTAAGTCTGAGGTGCTGCATCTCCATTTCAGCAAAAATTTTGCCTTGCAGCCGTTTGTTTAGCACTGCCCACCCAGCTGGCAGCCTGCAGCAAGTTGACCTTCTTGTGCAAAGAGAAGCTGCAGGCATTGCAACAAATGGAGAATGGAAGCGGGGAGCTTGGTTTTCACCCCAGCCCTGAGTCACATGGAAGCTTTTGCATGCACCTCAAACTGTGGTGGTTTGTGTTGGCCATGGTCCCTTCCACTGGGACCTCAGTGGATGGGTGGCTTGTGGCTGCCAAACAGGCTCCTGGCAAGGCAGGATCTGCCTCATGGTGACCCTGGGAATCAGCAGCAGCTGCCCTGAGATCAGCTGAAGTGCAACACTGAAAGAGGACAGTGGTTGTTGCAGTTTTCCCCAGAATACATGAGTTTATTCCATATTTCTTGTCTTTGCATGGATGGGTTAATTAACCCTGTTTGTGTTCTGTTCTGTCATGGCTGTCTGTCTAATGTGTTGGTGTCTGGTTTTGTTTTGTAGTTCTTTCATGAGGGGCACTCCGTGTCCAGCAGCATGTTCGCTTCCAGGGTAAAACACTGTCTGTTGCTCTGCTCCTGCTCTTCCCCCGTGTGTGTGCGTGTGTGCATGTATACATGTGTGTGTGCATGTGTGTGTGTGTGTGTGTGCAAGGTCTTGGCTTTAGAGACCTCCTGTGACTTCTGCTTAAAACCTTGTTTTCAAACCCTACCTCTCTGTCTTGTTCATCTTTGCTGGGAACCAATTCTTGTTAGTAATCTTTTAATAGAGGTTGAGTCTCACATTTGGATCCCCTTAGTTCCTCTAAAGCTTAAGCAGTTGTAGCAGATAAAGTACTATAACAGATTTAGCTGCTTGATAGTGGATTATGTTACAGGTGTCTTCAATATTTAGAAGTAATGTAGTGTTGATAAATACTTGCAGTGTCTGGACAGTGAGGAACCCAGAATAGCTTCAAGTTGCTGAGATAGGGGTTTTATGGGCATGGCTATCTCCTCAAGCAGTCATCTTCTTTCAAGGCAGAAAACTGTAGCTCTTCTTAAGCTCTCACGCTTAAGAAGGAAGATAATTGCTTAACTATTTTACCAACAGAGACCTCAGCAATTTAAAGTTAGTGTGAAGCTCCAAATGTGTCATGGAGAGATGGGAAGTTTGCATCTATGCATGTCCTTTGAACTGGCTGTTGTGATTTGTGATTCTCTGCATCTTCAGACTTACTGTCAATGGCACACCTCCCAAATGTCATAAGTACACAGCTGCAGAGCACCACTAGCCCTGTGGCCTGGCCTGACAGCTGTCAGGTTGCTGTTGCCTCTCTTTTCCTACATACCAGCGCAGAAAGGCAGGCTTCAACTGTGTGTTTGATTGAAGTGCACATATTTAGCTGTTCAGGGAGATCTTTGTTTCTCTGAACCACCTGAGTAGTCAGATTAATTGTTGTATACAAATGGATTTCTCTACTTTGGCGTTGATGCTCCCGCTGAGCTCCTGCATCCCCAAGCTCTGCTCAGCAGGATGGAGGAAGTTCTGTCTGTCATGGTCAGTGTGCAGTGGAAAGGAGAAACAAGCACTGAAACATCAGGAGAAGACCACCTGTGCCTTATGAACAGCAGCAGCAGTGGAAATGGATTGTTCTCATTTGCTGTGGATTTTTTGCAGAGCTTGGCTATGCAAAATCCATGAGCCTGCACCTTCCAACCATTCAGTTTTCAGTCTTAGTGTCCTCCTTCCCCAGTACCTTGCTCAGGTGGTTTCTTACCCAGAGATGATGGGATTTCAGATGGGGCTATCAGTGAAGTCCTTTCTGGGCTGAAAGCAACAGGTGTGCAAAAAGGAATGAGAAAACAGAAGAGCTCAGTCTGGGAGTGCAAGGAATAGGCAGACTGTATGTGAGGAAATCAGAACAACAATTTGCTGATAGTGCCATAACTTTGAACACGATTTGCTGTCTAATTTAGTGTCCAAGTATAGGGTATAAGGTATATACCCTTAGGGTATAAGGGTAGAGCTATAAGGGTAATAAAGAAGAACAAGACTGACACTTACAGAGAGGCAAGCGTGATGATTTCATGGTCACATGAAGTCGATTTTTAATCTACTTATTTTAATGGAACTTTTGCATGGTGGACTCTCTTGCTGGACTCATGGACCCCTTTGGTTCTTTTACAACACCGACCTCAATGTCCAAGTGAATCAGACTTACCTGCAGAATCCCCCGTCTTGAACACCAGTGACGTGGTGTCACTTTAACAGCTTGAGCTTGTTAAAGTAGTCAGACCTTGTGTTAAATCAAGCACTGAAGTTTACTGTGTCATGCCATGTTGAACTGCTTGCCTGTTTTGTTGAGAAATTATTGAAGTACTCGAGAAGTGAAGCTTGTTTTGAAGGGGAGAGATACAGATCAATCCTGCTCCATCATCCTGTCTGACACTATGGCCTGTATTTTTCCCCTGTTTCCGAGGTAGCATTATAACAAAAATGTATTGACCAGGTGTGGTCAATACACCCACTTGGGGTGGTAGAAGTCAATTAACCGAGGCTTTAATGTCCTTACAGAGGAGCAGCACTCCATCATCTCCCACCAGTACTTCTCCTACTGGCTCCAGTGGAGACATGAGCTGGGGTGACCGAAAGGGGCAGTGGCTGCGCAGAAGGAGGCTTGATGGTGCTATTAACAGAGTTCCTGTTGGCTTTTATGAGAAAGTGTGGAAAATCCTTCAGAAGGTAAGTTGGCTGCTATGGAGGGCAGGAAGCAAGAAAGCTGCACAGTAACTTGGGGAAGTGGTAGTCCAGAGGTAACATCTTGCCAGGAGTTGGCTTCAGCTGGAAAACTGGTGGAAATGAGAGTCATTAGTGGAAGTGTGTCTCTTGAGCATAAAAGGGCTCCATTAACACAAGTTCACATGTTTTTTTTAAAGTTTGTTTTTTTCTGAAACCACCAACGCTGAATTTTGGCTGAACTTGCATCCCACAGCCTAATGCACGTTGTCAGTGCAGCTGAGGGGCACTGCAGTGCAATGCAGTTCTGTGCTCCAGTTCAGAAAGGCTGTGAGGAATGAAGTAGGAAACTGCACTGACTCTTCCAGAATGTCTTGAGATCTCTTGCTGGCTCTTCTGAGCTGTATGGCATTCTTGACATTTTTTTGTTTATTTTCAAGTGAAAAGTAAGTCCTTGCCAGCACCTCAGAGGTCAGGGGTTTGGAAAGGTGTTGAAGCAACTCTCCAGGAAGGAGGAGAGGGAAATTATGAATTTTTACCTATTTCATAGTGATTATGCACCTGTTTTTTTTCTTTGCTGAATGTGAGCCAGTGTTCAGGACCTTGCAGCACTGAGCTGTTCATGCCTGCTTAGTTGGGAAAAGACTGCGTCACTAGTTTAGGCTGGTTTTGGTTTTCCTTCTAAAATCAGTTACACTGAAACTCCTAGTGTTGATGTCAGCCAAGATGAGTCATATGTGACCTCTTGGCTATTTACTAATGGGATCTTTTAGTAGAGTGAGCATCACTTCTGACCTAACTTAATAGCTAGGAGCATTTGTATGTTTTTTTCTGGCTATTAAAATGAATTGTGCTTATTTAATTTGTTTTCAGTATTTCATTCTTCAGATCTCTTTGGACTGTTCATAAAATCTGTCTCCTCTTCTTGATGTGTGTTTCTGTACCTCAGGTACTCAGATATGTCTCTCCTTAGCCTGCCTTCTCACCACTTAGGTTTTGTCACTCTTCCCTTTTGTCACTTGGTACTTCTAACACCACCTCTGCCCCACTGGTTGACACCCTTGAGGTGTGGTGCCCTGTATCTGAAACACGTAACTAAGGGTTGTTTTAGGGAAAATGAGAAAAGTTCTCACTTTTGTGGTCTGTTGTCCATAATGCTTTCATGTTACCTTATTTCTACTTCCTTTTGAGCAGAATGTTCTCATTAATTTGTTTCCCTCCTTTGTGTGCCTCTTGCTGTAGTGGCTCTCTAAGTACTGGAACACAGCACTCCCTTGTGTGTCATGTCAGGCTATTTCTTATGTTTGCCAGGTTACATAATAACTTCTTTAGCATAGATGAAATATAATATTTTGGAACAGGGGTTTTTTTGTCTCATTTGGGGGTTTTTGCTTTGGTTTTTTTGTTTTTTCTATCTGAAAGTTGTTGTATATTGGCTCAAAAAAAAGAGAACTCTCAGAAGATTTACTTGCAAGAACTGTAATTTCTGTTCATTGTTGAAATGTTGTTGTTTCAGTGCCATGGTCTGTCCATTGATGGGTATGTCCTTCCTTCTTCAACCACCAGAGAGGTACAGTAAAATGCCAACGATTTGCAATGATTTTCTCCCCATGTGATGAATGCTGAGTGTGACAGTGTAACATGCAGCAGGGATGCTGTTGCAGATCCTTTGTTTCAAGGTTAGAACATCTGGAGTTTCCCCAGCACCTCTGCTGGCTTCCCCAGGTCTGTGCAGATGTGTTCCTCCCAGGCAGGCCTGGGAGAGTGTTTCTGGCAGGTTTTCCCCTTTGCTGAGCCTGCTTTCTGGATACCTTTACTCTCCCCGTGTGCCCACAGAGCAGAGCTTGAGAGAGGGTGGCTGATGGCAGTCCTTGGTGGGGGGAGGTGAGGAGACAGTGCAGACCTGTTGGAGTAAAGCAGACATCTTCCTTGCCACTTACTTTTTTTTAATATGCTGCAACACCAGCCAGTGTATTTTGGCTTCACAATCTCAAAAGTAAATACCAGTTAAGAATGATTGTTTCTAACCAAAGCTTTGACTCTTTAATTCCATAACCTTTCCTTACATTTTTTTTCCTTAGTTCAATTGCCTTTAGGTGCTCTAGCAAGTTTTGAATTCACATCTATAAAACAAACTCTTGTGAACAGTAATCCATCAGAACAAGAGAGGTGCTTGTGTGCTTGATACTGTTTTCCTGTTTGGTTCCCTTGTATTTGACTCTGGCTTCCTTCTCTTCTGAGGGATGATGGCAACAGCTGAAGAGAGGAGCTGGAATTTTCTGCCAAATTTAAATGTTGCTTTTTGGGTTTTTTTATTCAGAAAGGAGAGCTTTATTTATCCCTATTGTGTAGGTAAATAGGCTTATATTTTTAGCCTGTCAGACCTAGACAGTATCTAACTTTGCTGTTTAAAGGATTTGAAAAAATAAGCACAAACCTCCTAAGGCAACACAGCATCCACAGAGATATGCCAGTGCAAATTAAGATGCTCTACAAACAGTATAGCGGTACCTCTGCATGGCAAAGCTTTAGGGGCTTATTTAAAAATCACCCCTCTAAGCAGGTGGTTATTTTTAAAACTTAACAGTAAGTTTGGCTTTGCAACTAACCTGTGATGCCAGAAAGATACTTACAAGGCAGAGTGTGTGAGATCACAGCCTGAGGAGCAAAGAGTTAATTTGCCAGCTAAGCATCAGCAGCCCTGTATGTAAGTGAGATGTGTATGTGATGGGTTGCAGGGCTGGAGCAGCTTCTGGAAGTTGTGTAACTGTTTGCAGAATCAAGGTCTAGCAACACGAAAACTTTCTGTAAGTGCTAAAGCGGCACAAACATTTTGTTCGCTTCAGTCAGTCTGCCCCCATGTGCAGAGAGGAGCATATGTTTCAGAGCTTGCAGGATGTGGGGAACTAGTCTTTTGGATTTGTCAGTTTTTCTCTCCATTTCCACTCAAACCTGCCAGATGACCCCGTGCGAAATCAAGTTTGCTGTGCACGTGGAGTCGGTGCTGAACCACGTCCCCCAGCCTGAGTACAGGCAGCTCCTGGTGGAAGCTATTCTGGTCCTCACGTTCCTCTCTGACATCGAGGTGAACAGTATCGGGGGCATCATCCACGTGGACCGAATCGTGCACATGGCCAATGACCTGTTTCTGCAGGAGCTGGTGAGTTTAAAGGGCAGTGGTGGGAAGTCTCCTCCTTTGAAAATTATCCCCTGCTCCTTTTTCAATATGTGTGATGGCCTGGTTCCTTCCCCTACAAAGACAGACAGAATCACTTAAGTATCTTCTGGAAATACATTCAGAAAGCTAATTTAAGAATTGTGGGAGATTTAAATGGAATAAAATAGTGGCTAACAAGCTCTGAAGTATATTGTTAGATTGAAGTGAGGGTTTGCTTTGTCAAGGCATTAGAATTACTAATATTTGAGTAATCCCACTCTTTCCCCCCAAAGGACAAAAATCTGTGAAGTTATATGTTCTTCATTTACTTACACTGATCCAACTAAGTCATGTGGGCCCTATAATAATCCTGATTAAGGTTTTCATGAGGGAAAGGAGAATTGCTTTCAGTATTCAGCACAAATGGAAAATCATAACGTGGTGGGTTTTTTCTAATAAATAAACATGCATGCCTAACTTGCCCTTCTTCTTTGCTTGTGTCTTTTCAGAAATCATTTGGAGCTACTGGCAGTATCTTGGAGAAGGACATAGCCACAGGAATTTGCCACTTTTTTTATGATAGTGCTCCAAGCGGGGCCTATGGCACCATGACATACCTAACAAAAGCCATAATTATTTATTTACATGATTTCCTGCCTAGCACAGGCTGTGCCATGCAGTAAGTGATGCCTCGTGTGGGAGGGAAGGCTCAGAAGCTCTTTCTCCCCATTTCCCTGTTGTGAACCTCACAGTTACTTGCTGCCTGTGTGTGTGCCGTGCACTGCCTCAGCACTGGACACTAGTGGCCATGCTCTGTGCATGCCCTACCTATGGAGGACAGGGAGCTGGAATTTGGCCTGGTTTTAGGAGAGTGTGAAAGAAATAACAAATAATGAGGCTTATTCTGCCCAAAGTGCATAAATGTAATTCATAGTAAATTAGAAAGAATTATACAGTTCTGCCAAGGGGAAAACAGATTATTCTGTGGACATCAAAAGGCATAATAAAACAAGGGAGCTGTATCTTGGGCATAGAGTCTCCCAAATAAGGGAAGTGATGGAATTCATTAATTTTTCTCCTTCTGTGTGTAAATGTACATCATTGTGAATCACTAATGCACAGTGTGAAACATCCAGGGAAATGTAAATTAGAGGCATAGGAATAACTTGAAATAACCCAGTGATATTTCTCATACATGTTTATCCTGGATCTCTTCTCACTTGCACCTAGTCAATGCCAGGCTAACGCCAAGAGAGACAAACATCTTGCAATATCCACTAATTTGAGAGGATAGCCTCTGTCAGGAAGCTGCATCTGTCTTTAATCTGAACAAGACAGCTTCCTTCCCTGCCTCCCTGAGGCTTTGGAGGCAAAATCTGAAGGTTCCAGCTTCTCCAAGGTGACAGACACTTTTATGCCTGTAATCCTTTCCTCTGAATGGAGCAAGATAAACCACTTCCACTCAAGCACCCTTTCCAAGTCTCCTGATTGTTTCCCTTGCAAACAGCCTCAGAGATAAGAATGGCATAATTGTGACCCTTCCAGCACAGTGTGAATTTATGGAAGGCTTTGATGTTTCTCTTTTTTTTTCTTTCCTATTTTTTTTTTATTTTTCTTTTTAGTTTGAAGCTGCACTGGTCACATTCAGTAAGAGTTTGGGCTGCCTGGAAGTCTCCCTTCAGACAGTTCCTAGGTTAGTGCTGGCACCTTGAATCTGTCCACTGGAAACTCTGAGCTGCTGCAGGGAGAACAGGTGTGTCCTGCAGGGCAATGGTCCCATGGCCACTGAAACTGAAAACAGCAGTAGGCGGCCTCTGGAGAGGAAAACCCTGCTGTACCCCAGGCAGGATTTTCATTGAGCTGACACTGCTGGCTTTGTGAATAGCCACGTGCCAGCATCTGGCTGACAGCTTAGCAATAGGGCAGTAGATTTAGCCTCTCTGTTGCCACAGGCTCCCCCAGCAGTGTGGAGGTGTGCCAGCACTGCTGCTACGTGAGCAGGAAGGATCAGAGCAATTCTGTCTTGCCTGATAGAGGGGAAAAGAGCAGACAGGTCTGTAAAAAGGCCTGTAAAATTTTCTGAGTTAATAAGCCTGATTAAGTATATTTTTGTGAGCCTCCCCTCCACTCTTTCAAAACATAACTATACCATTTGTATAGGATTTGAAAACTTTTTTTTTTTGTAACAATGGTGGGTGGTGCTTTTGAGAGTGAGGTTTTTGTTTCCAGTTTCATACAGGTATCTGAAAGACCTTGACAAAATGACTACACTCTGTCTCACTTGCCAGTTGCCAGCACTCATGGTCCCAAGGAGGCTGAGCTCCTGATGGCTGTGCCACCCTGCCTGCTGTCCCTCTACACACTTGATGCTGCTGTAGCAATGTCTGGGCACTGCCTCAAGACAGTGAAGGCATGGGAGGCCTTAGGAAGTGATTTATTGTTTTTGCAGAGAACAGAGGAGTTTGGCAGTCCAGAGGCCCAGGAACCCTTGGATTGAGTGCTCCAGAGACACCCTGTGTTAACCACTATGAGAACTATGGGCCTGTGGAGTGGCCAGCATGAAGTGACAGTTCAGGTGCAATTACCACTTGGATGTGGAAGTCATTTTATTGGCATGGTGCCTGTTTTGTAGGGGTTTGCCTTCATTATGGTTTGGTTTGGATTTTTTCCTTTTCATATGTATTGTGAGAGCTTACTTGGCTTGTTTCCCGGTAAATGAAAGTAAAATCCTTTGTCTAGTTTAAGCAGATGTGACAGTGCAGAGCGTGAGCACACAAGAGCTGGTGTGATGGTTTCTTGTTCTACCCAGTATCATATGAAAATTTACTAGTAGCTGTTATTTTTGCTTTTGTTTTTGAATCCTAGATTGTGAGAGATGCAAGATGATTTTCATTCAGACTCTTAATTTTATTTTATTTTTTAACCTACAGCATGATCTTGTTTTCAGAAACAAGCAGGGTGATGTAATTGGTTTTACATTAAGCTGCCTTGAAGTCTAAAACAATGAAACGTATGGCCTAACATACCTGGTCACCTCTTAACACTTCTTTTTTTAATGGCAGTGTCATTGGTGTCTTTAGTATGAAATTCACAGTATGAACCAGGTTATGGTATATTTATGATTATCATGAGTTACCACATGAAATGCAAGCACTTGGAAAGTATTTATGTGGTAATTTGAAGAGTTTAGGTAGCTGATGGTGAAAGCTGGGACTCTGAAACACACAGCTAGGGGGAAGGGAAACTTGTGTTATTTCCAGGTCAGGCACAGCTTCAGCTTGCAGCTCATTCCACTTGGAGAGCTGCATTGTAGTGCAAACCTAATTAAGCAAATAAGGTTTTACCCAGACCCCCTGCTTTGCTGAGGATTCCTGGTGTGTATTAGGCTGCTGCAAAGCAGAGCTGGCACTGGCAGTGACGAGGGTGTGCTCACAGATAAAATACATGACGACTTTGCAATTTGTGTAGGGCTGAGCTAATTGGCAGAGGCTCAACTTGGCCGTGCGGCTTCCCTGGGGAGCCAGCAAAGGATGACACTGCCAGCTTCCAGTCCCTGGAAACGCATTTATGGAAAGAAAGCAAAGGTGAACAGACACATCCTGTGCCTCGGAAACAAGGGCATTAGTAAATTAAAATAGACCACCTGAGAGCTGCTTGTCCCAGCCTGACAGGCACTGCTGCCCTAAGCACTTTGCAGCTGTGGGGTCAGAAGCACCTCCGCAGGGCTGGAGGCAGCCAGATGTGCCTGGAGAGAGGAATGGGGCTGGGTGGGGCCATTGGCCAGAAGGATGATGGGTGTCCAGCTCAGAGTTCATACCGCATGCTGGCTCCAAACCAGCTCCTCCAGGCCAGTGCCCTCCCTGCTCCCTGATCATGGCTGTTTCCTTCTCCCTGCTGCTGAGTGAAGGACACGGGTTTGTCTCACTAGACAGATGAAAAGCACCTTTGATCTCCCTCAGCTGCTAGTCCCACAGGTAAATGTGAAAACTTAATGGGTGGAGTACAAAGTTTGCCTGGCTTCTCTCCTGCTAATTGTAGTTTCCTTCCTTAGGGAAAGAGCCCTGCTTGTTTCTGGAAGGTGCAGGTGAGCTGCACAGTCCCTAGTTGCCCTATAAAGGTGTGGCCACTTTCTGTGGTGAGTGGTGAAACACCTGGGCTGCCCCTGCGGGCACGGGGCACTGCAGGACTGTGTCACCCCTCCAGCAGCAGCCAGGGGCTTGAGTGAAGCCAGAGCCTGGATCAGTCCAGGTGCAACCTTGGGCACTTTCTGGTGTTGCCCACAGTTAGGAGCAGAGTTGCCCATTAAGCAGGAGAGAGATGCCACCAGTGGTGGCGTCTGTAGCTGTAGGGTGAGAGTTTGGGCACTCATCTGCAGATTGATTCAGTCCCTGCTCAAAGAACCAGTCACATCTGCAATATTAAGTAGCCACTGCATAGAATTGTGACTAAAAGGGATTGGGAGTGGGATTATAGAAGAGCTTCAGCTCAAATGGTTTTAAGTACAAGCAGCAGGGCTTTTTCCCACTCCCAGTTTCAGTCTCGAGTGGAATTTATTCCTGGCGTTAGATGTTTCACAGTTACTCCCCTGCCACCCCCCTTCTTCTGTCAGGGGTAAGGGGGCTCTTGTGTGCTGCCAGCAGCTGACAGGACAGGGGCTTTCTTTTTTGGCTCAGTAATTCAGCTCCTCTCATACTTCAGTGCTGCATCCCCAAAAGCCTCTTACTGCCTGCCGAGTGCAGCACTGCACTGCGACTGTACCTTGGCATCCCCTCTCATGAAGTGATCCCTCAAGGCGAGTCCCCTTCAACTTTATGTCATCTTCAGGAATGTGTCATTAGAGGGGGACACCTAAACTGATGCTGTCAGTTGTATTTCAGAGCTCCTGTGCCTCGCTGCACACCCTGGCTTTGTCCTCCTTACTGGGATGGGTGGCAAAGGAGGACTCCAGAGCTGCACCATCCCATTCCACCTTGTCACTTTGCACCTACAGCATGGAAGCCAACAGTGGGAAGCAAGACCCCACAACACACTGTGGTGTTTGTCCATCTTAAGTGGAGCCTTTTTGTCATTCCACTGGAATAAGGTGGGACTGATCATCACAGTGCATAGATCACCATAACTGCATGCTAAAAACAGACATTAAGTACTACCAATGCCATTAACATTTTATTGTAAATTTTGTTGGCACTATTAAAGATTTTTCTTTCCCCCTCCCCCAAGGCAATAGAAATAAGTGTGTGCATGTTTATTCATTCATCTGTCAAGTTACAAAATACTTCTGGAAAGTATTCTGGATTTAATTGTAAAAAATAAGATCTAAGAGAGAGAGCAGTGCCTTAAGCTCTGGCTGCTGTTGCATTCTGTGATGATAAACTGGGAAGGATGCTTTTTCTTGTACTTTCAACACTGTTATTAAATAAAACCAAGCTGATTTACTTAGCTCATCTTTAGCTAATACAATTTAAAGGGGGACTAGACTGAAACCTTTTCCTTCCCAAAAAGCACATTGTGTGCATTTTATTTACTAAGGCTGAATGAGGTGATACTTTTACCAAAAAGCTCCTGACCTGGTGTTGCTTTTGGAGTGTTATATGCAAAAGAATTAAGTCCAGATCTCCCAACTCTCCCCCCGGGAACTGACAGGGTGGTACTGGCAGGAATGGGAATATTGGTTTGCAGTAGGGGAAAGGAGATGGGCAGGTGAGGGGCATTGGACTTTTCCATCTTGCTGCATTTGAAAAACTCTAATTCAGAATTTCTCAGTTCCCTTTTCTTGGTAAAGAATTTATGTTTATCTATATGCAAGAATATTTAGGTTCATAATACCAAATACGTTTACTTTGTGTTTGTACTCATTTCTTTGTTTTTAAGAAACCCAGTTCATCTTCAGGAAAAGTGTGTTCTACGCTGATAGGGGCAGGGTACTCAAATACAGGCAAAAAGACACCCCACTTAACTACTTAGACGTTACTCAGAAAGCTAAAGCTTTATTTTGTGATCTTTTGTGTGTTACATTAACATGCTATGGATTTAGTTGCCATTAAGGTGATGAGTTATGACTGTTTCTTAGCTCCAAATTCCCACAAATGTGGCAAAAAGTTACCAGTCGTAAGAGGAAACTTAGCACAAGTGTAAACACCTTTCAACCAAGATCCTGTAAGTTCTGTCTGTATAGTTGGGATAGACAGTGACCTGGAATGATTTAGTTCCACTCTGTCACCCAAAGAGCAAATTTAAATGCAGAACAACCTGTTTTAACTAGATAGTTCTTCCTTGGTTTCCTTTACTGCACTGGACACTCCATAGTCAGTGTCTCTTGTGCCTGTTTCATAACCAAGGAGGGTTTGATATGTTCCTTGTGGTCACCAGTGCTCTCAGCTGTCACCAAGGACCACTGAGAGAAATAAACCCAAGTCTCTTCCTACACCATTGAAGGTGTGACCTTGGCAGTGTTCACAGATTAGATTAATAGGGTAAGTTGTAAGGTACTGGCAGTGTGTGGCAGTGACACAGGAATGCTGTTAGTGGGTTTTCATCTCTTCTGTCTCATTAATTGCAGGTACATATCATCCACATGGTGACCTCAGTGCATATCGTATCATACTGTATCGAGCAGCCCTTTTATGACTAAGGACAGGAAGGTGAGCTTCCAAGACAGCTCACAAGTTCTGCCTTTTCACGAGTTTCCCTTTTCCTCGACTCTGTGAACAAAGTGAAAGGCCTCTAAAAATTCATTGAAGTCAATGTGGCCATCTTTGTTGTGGTCTATACTCAGGACTAATTTGTCAAAGGAGTCATCCTGTACATCAATTCCCAGGTGAGAAGTGAAGAGTCTCCATGTCTGGCTGAACTCCTCAAGAGAAATCAGACCTAAAGGAGACAGACAGCAGGTTGCTTTTTCCGGTATGAAAATGTTTCCCGTTCCTGCAAATACACATACATGCACACTCCCTCCCTTGCAAGAAAGTTACCTGCCTGCCCTGGCTTTGGTGTGTTTTGTGCTTTCGTGACTCAAGTACATTTTTACTTTAGATAATGGTCAAATGCTTTTGCCAGAGGAATTGAGAAAGCAGTAAATACTGAGAGTGAGTGGAAGGGAGAAAGAGCCCCCAGAATAGTGAAGCCAGTACTGGAGATGGGGTATGTGAGAATTTTTTGTCAAGTTAGGCTCTGTGCACTGTCCCTTATATGGTTGCAGCCTGACTGCTTAAATTAGTCTTCACTAAACTGGAAAAATGACATCACCTCTGCTTCCTCTATATTTAGAAGCCTTAAGGAGGAAACACAGTGGGGAAAAAATAACTAGTATAGGCTTCCTAGAGCCGGTACAGTGAAGTTACCTAGACTTACCCGAGTTATCTTTGTTAATGATGTTAAAGATGATCTCCAAATCCTTTCTGTATCTGCACAGTGTTTCCACCAAAGCTGGCTGAGCCTGGTTTTGAAATTGCATACAGGAAGACATTCAGACCTTGGTTTGACTTAGTTTAACCAACAGAAATATGTACAGTCCAATTCCATTTTCCTAATTTAACTTGTCAAATGTTAAAAAAAAATCCTTATGCTTAAGTTCCCTGGAATAACACTTTGTGCCTTGCCCTGAGAAATAATCAGATAAACCCCATCACTTTCAGATTGGCAGAGCAAGGGGGAAAGGAGCCCTTCACACCTCCTACCTTCAGTAATTATTTGTGGAAATACGGATAATCTAGGGAAGATAGTATAGGGAATTGGCTCTGGAGCATGTTTAAAAAGCTCATTTCTAGGAGGGTTGAGTTCTCTGGGCAAGATTTGTCGTATCTTCTCAGCTACATTATCTAAACGCCCTTGAAAGTCAACGGAAAGTAAGAAGCAGTTCTAGCATGTGATTCATCCAACCTATTTTAAGCATCTACCTTAGCAGGGAATGATGATTTGTACCCGAGAGTGCTCATTTTCTTCCAGTGACTATAAAAGGAAGTTTGACAACTAGTTCAGATGTAGATGTCTATCTGATTGGCCAAACCACTGTCTTGTGCTTCAAGTTGCACCAAAAGCTGTTCCTCCAAGATTTGTGAGGAGGTGTTTTCATCCTTACCTCTTTTATAGGTTGATCCATTTTCAAATCATAAAAACATGACATGAAGTCAACTTGTCCATCTGGGTTCATCTGTGCTAACCGAGGCCGCAGCATCCTCCAGGGCAGTTCCAGCTGTAGGACAGACTCCATTGCTGCAGCCCAGTCAGGGACAGAAATGCAGCCTGCCAGAAGGGGTCAGTTCGTGGTTACAAGCGGAACATGGCACAGCATATGTCAGTCACCAGCACACCTTCACAACCGCTCTTAAGAACGGTTGCGAAGCACAAATATTTTCTCTTAACCCCAGGATAAAAACCCTCATAACAATGAGCAGAGCACCCACAGATGCCTCTCAACCTCAGCAACTTTGCGATGCTATTAGGATGTTCAGCATATTTTAACACCTTTTGAGAAAACCAGATTATGCCATAAAGAGTACTTCAGATTTCAGCTGAGCTGCAGTTAGAGCGACATGTGGCTGAAAAACTCAGCAAGACAGAATGTCAAACAACTGTTTCGTGGCCAAAGACACAGTACCACCATGTTACTGAGTGCCCTTGTAGAGGCATGGTCAAGTGAGGAGCCATCACAAGGAAAAGCTGTATTTGTGGTAGAAATCAACTTCTTACTCCTACATAAAAGCTTCATCTATTAACTTACCACTGAATTTTCTGCAGCTGATAGGTGAATGTGTGTCTGCTAAAGGTACAGGCAGTCAACTTTCCTCACGTACCTCCCAGACTCAGAAGGACACCAGTTCCCCCTCTGGGGGAGACCCTAGTTCCCTGTCTGACATCTGAAGACACCACCTAAGAGGAGGTGGTGACCTTTGAGATTCTGGAACTGGATTTGCCTGCCCATACTCTCCGCCCAACAGCAAACAGCATTTCTTTATTTGCCCATGTGTTTCAGTTTTCTTCTTCCAACTTAAAAGCTTCATCCTCTCAAGTTGTTTTCCAGGGCTAAACACTTGCCAACACCTATTGTCCTCTGTGGTCAGAAAGAACAAGGTCAACCAGCCTCTGCTGCCCTCCAGCCTTACACTGGCAGGCAGGCAGGACCCCTCTCCATGGGCTTTGTCCCTTCTGCCCCACACACACATGGAAGTGTTTTCCCCATAGCAGCAACTGGACATAAAGGGAGTGGTACCTGTGCCACTGAGGTCGTATTGTGCAAAAGCACTAATGAGTTCAGACCTATGAGCATAAATCAGCTCTTGTAAGGACTTTAAGGCAGATGATTCAATTGTACCCACCCTAGGAGGAAAAAAATCAGAGCAGATAATTAAAGAATTTAAATCCTCTGGCATTTTATACTTTTTAACAATCATTATCATATTCTTTTATCCTTTAACATGTATTATGTTTAAGTAGGATGACCCAAAACATACTAGAGAACACTGGAGGGAAGGGGGGAAAGCCCCAAACCAAACAAAACCAAAAGTGCTCCATAAGAATAATCTGAGTTTATGAGATAACTGAGTTTATACAGCTAATTCTAAGGTGCTTTCCTTTGGTTATCTGACCACAGTGCTAGGCATGGCAAAGCTATGATGAACTTTTTGGACTCAATTCATAACAGGATTTGTCCAGATTAACACTGTGGTCTTCAAGCAAACCTGACAGACAGGTGGAGACCCTTTACAAGTCCCTGACAGTTGTCTGTTCTAACCTCTTACCTTATCTAATTACCATTGGGAGTTTCTCAGGAGACCAAGTTAGAGCATTTAGAACATGTTTGGTCAACTGTATTCATTTTTAAATGGTAAAACAGAAAACCAGGGAAAACAAAGAAAAATAGATGCCTATTCAATTATTCAGTCAAGCTCTAGATTTGTGGCAGGTGCTCACAAGCGAGTACACGCTCACTGCATGCAACACACAGCTTTACCTCTCCAGAATATTCAGCCTGCGTGTGTGCTTGCTGGATTGAAACTGTACAAACCGAGGAATTAGTTCAGGGTCCAGTTTGACGTATGCTCCCCGGTTACTCCCCTCTTCATAATAGTTAGAGGCAGAAAAGATAGTTATAACCTGATTATAGGAAACAAAGAAACTGAATTGGCTAGCACAGCTCTTCTTGACACTGAGTTCTGAAACGGACCTTAGAAAAAAAGGCAGGTTACAAAATTAAGTGGCTACATGTAAAACCATGTCATTCACCAAATTGCT